GAGAGAGCGGCATGGACATATATACACTACCAAATGTAAAATAGATAGCTAGTGGGAAGCAGCCACATAGCACAGGGAGATCAGCTGGGTGTTTTGTGACCACCTAGAGGGGTGGGATAGGGAGGGTGGGAGGGAGGGAGATGCAAGAGGGAAGAGATATGGGGATATATGTATAGGTATCGCTGATTCACTCTGTTATAAAGCAGAAACTAACACACCATTGTAAAGCAATTATACTCCAATAAAGATGTTAAAAAAAAAGACCCAATGCAGCCATAAATAAATAAATAAATAACTCTATTTTTTTAAAAAAGATCTAAACTTGCAGGAATATTATATGACGCTAAGGCACACGTGACAACAAAGGGATGTCACTGCTGAGTCATCCCACTGATATACTCTGCACGGCTAAGAGCAAATTTGAGAAGGCTCAAGCCCTGGGCTGCAAGTACCGATATAAACACATCGTGGAGGCACCCAGTGCCAGGGCCAACTCCAGCCTCACGCTCTGCCCCATCACCCCCATTTTCATTATGATGATGTCTATTTGAATTTCCAGATGCTTCCAAAAACTGACCAAGAGAATCTGGGCTCTGGCTGCAGACTGGGAAGTTGTTTTGGTCAGAGAGACACCTGGTGGCTCTTGAGATAAACCACACTATCCTGCCAAAGAACACTTGTGTCCCAAGCCAGGCACCAAGGGGTGGCGAGGAAGCCCAGCCTCTCCTGCTAAGGAGAGTATCCAGCATCACCTTTGCAGGGAGTGGGTAGCCCAGGGGGGCACACGGGCTTTGTGGCCGGAGCAAATGGGCTTGAACACTCAGCCTGACTCTTGTCTCCTGGACAGTCAGCTTGACTGTTGAAATGGGGCAGGGACGCAGGTATCTCTTCACACCACTGTGAGGACCAGCTGGCCCAAAAGTGATGGACCCAACTGTGACACCCACAGTATTTGAACGCTGTCTGTCCCCTGAACTTACGGGTACCTGGGTGGCCATCAGTTCACAACAGGGCCCCTACAGCACCTCTGTGCTCAGATGGTTTTAACGTGGTCAGGGAGCTGGGTCCCCCATGGGCAGATAGGCTTCGCTCTCTCAGTGCCCCAGTGCTGTCCCCTCACAAAGGACACCCCTCCATGAAATCGTGTCCATGGGGTTTCCTTTTTTGGGGTGGTGGTATTATGGCAGCCTCTTCCCCCCTTTATAAATTTCTGCATGCTTCAGTTTTTGCTACAAGCAGTTTCATGTTTATATAAAGAAGAAATGATTGCCATTTCCTTTTCAGTGGGAAAAAATGTTAAATTTCCATTAGCTCTTGTTTTCATCTTAGCCCTTAGATGATTTTCCATCAGTTTATTTATTTTTTTAATCTTTTTGAACAGAGTAAAGGAGACTCTGGGATTTCACAGCGTTATTTAACATTCTCACACTCTATCCTGTAATTTCAGCTGTTGTCATTGTCTTTACACAAAGGAACACGGCAGACAAGCAGACATCTCCCTCTGGAAGGCACCAAAACAATGGTGCTCATGTCTCCGCCCAAGTTGAGGTTGAAAATGAAGAGGGGAGGGTGGTTTCATTCCTAAGAGCTCCGCAATACTTTCCAATACCAACTCAGCTTTCCCACACTTCAAGGTAACCTGAAGGGGAAACCGAGCGTCAGCACGAGTGGCTGCCTAAAGCATTTCTTCGTGTATGCTACTCCTTACTTTCTTTTAAAACAGAAGATGCAGTGAAGAAAAAGTTGTATGCAAATAAAACTTTTCTCACTCCAGAATAATTTTATACACATTAGGGAACTTAGCTGCTGAAGTACCATCATGAATTTTTCAAAGCAAAAAAAAAAAAAATCCTTCTGCAATTCAAATCTTTTTCTAATTCACCTATTTGATTGGCTGAGTTTGGCTTACGCTGGATTTTCTTAAAATAAAGGTCATTTTTTTATTAGTCTTGGTTCCACAGTAAACCAGCAAAACAATTTGGGGACCGATTTTTGGACATGTCAATTTCCAGGTGCCGTTTAAGAGAAAGAGAAAATCTAGAATTATTACATTCATTTATTTAATAGGTAATCCTATCACAATTCTTCACTAAGGTCTTAAAGGCTGAAAAGTTATCAGGAATGGACAGATGTTATGATTTATTCGGGTGCATGTGGAATCCTATCAGGGAAATTTGCTCAAGTTTTAGAAAACGTCTATTTTCTAAAGAAATGGACTCAACCTTCCCTTTCCACAACGGGACGTGCATACGACATGAAATTCCCATAGCCAGGCCGGGTGTCAAGTCCTAAGGCTGTGCTGGAGGGCACCTGGCGTAGCCCGTGCCTGGCTCTCCAGCTGTGCACTGACACCAAGCTGCCAGACAGTCACCTTAATGACTCTACAGAGAAGTGTTGGTATCAGGATGTGACAGAGGGGGAAATCTCTCAGTCTGATGAAGGATTAGGTCACCAGCATGTCTGTGGAACCTACAATCAGGGCAAAGTTCTGAAGTGTTACAGTTTGTGTTGGTGACGACAGCAAAATGTCTATTTCCCCTTTAAGGCAGGTGACCACACGTCCCAGTTTGCCTGGGTAGTCCCAGTTCAGGCCAGTTGCCCTGTCATAATTGTTAATAGCACCTCCTTTCACTCTTAAAAGTATCCTGGTTTGGATGATGAATGACACTGTCACTTCACCTCTAGGTACAGCTCCCCCCCCCCACCACACACACACAAGATGCCCACAGAGCCTTCCCAGCACAGCACTTTGGTCCAGACTTTTCTATTACCCCTCCCACCCGATTCCTTCAGGGCCAAGGATCCCAAAATATAGCCGTTCTGATTAAATGTGTGCATTTGAGAACAGCCATTTGTAGACAATCGCCCTCAACCAGGGAAGTGCATATGATGGGGTCACCTAGGCCCGTGTCCGAACCAGCGGGACAGGTACCCTGAGGCGGTGCTTTCCAGAGCTCTCCCCACAGACCACTGAGGAAGGCCTTCGGGAGAGGGGCTCACACAGTGCTGGGATGGCCCATCAGAGGGCTCGGGCCACCCTCCTGGCCTCCACTGTTAAACCGCATTCTTTTCTCCCCCTGAAAAGGCACTGAGCAAAGCCAGCACCTCAAGGTTCTCACCAAAGATGGCGTTGCACTGGCTCCTACACGCTTCCCACTCGGAGCCAGCCAAAGGCAAATTTTTAGATGAATAGAAAAAGAAACTTTATTCTAATGTAGCATGGGAAAGTTTTTGAAATAGGAATTCTTCTTTTCTGACCAAAATAAACTTATGCTTTGAACATCTCTGAAAGGTTATTTTCTGTACACTTATATAAATATTTCCATGTCCCTATAAACATGACATCTATGGTCCTAAAAGCTTTTTGAAAAATCAATACAATTAGATTCTTTAGACAATGATTAGCCCAGTTAGAAAACAGGACACATTTCCCAAGCACAGCCAGGAGTAAAGAGAGGGCACAATTGGGAACACAGAGCAGGAAGGGGCTGGGGAGGGGAGGGAAGACTGGAAACCATAAAAACACAAAACCCTGCACATCAACTTTAGAGGCTAAGACCCAGCAAAAACTAAATTATATGCAAATGGAAAGGAACCATCCAAAGGGAACATGACATGACCTCGGGGTCAGATCTCACCCCAAGTCAGCAATATATCACCTGGCAGGTTCGGTCTTCCGGGAGCGCAAGGGCCTTTTTCTCGTTTATTCTTATCGAGCAAAATATTCAAGGTAGGGCCAAGTTAGAGAAAAGACTTCAGAGCCAACAGACATGAATTCAGATCCCTCTTCTGCCACGTATACTGGCTGTGTGATCCTGGGTGGGATTCCTAGCTTCTCTGAGCCTGTTTCCCGCCTGTGAATTATCTAACTTTGCTGGCTTGTTGGGAGGATTAGAGGTAACTTATAAAAAGTGCTTATATCCCCCTGGAAAATAACTGACAATAACTAACTAAAATGTGTGTGATAAGGGCTTCACCTTGGAACTTAGAACAGGCTCTGCACTGCCTAGTCTAAGATTCTGATAGTACTAGTCTACCCTGCGTGGTCTGCCAATCACCACCAAGCTCTGAGTCCGCCATGGGCCCCACTGCTGCCCCTCCGATGCTGTGCAACCACAAAGGCCACTTAAAGTTAGAAACAGATGTTCTCTTGGGAAACTGTGGTCACCCCCTTCCTAAGGCACCAGCTCTGCGTGCAGAAGTCAATGCGTGTGGAGGACTGAGATTTCCTCTCTTGTTTGGGTATCGCTTCCCCGGAGTGCTGTAGGCACTGGGGCAGCACTGACCTGACTCCCACAATGCACCACGTGGGGTGACAGTCACATAGTGGGCCATGTAACTGAAGCCCCTGGAACGCAGCAAGCAGGTTCCTGCACCACATGCCTCCCTGGGTCCCCCCGGACCACCCCCCCCCCCAAGAAGCCGAATTTCTCAAGTCTCGGGCTCTGAGACCCTCCCTCCAGCTGGGCAGTGACAGTCAGCAACAGCACTGGATTCGGCGGCGTTGAGAAGCCAGGACTCCACGGAGAAGAGGGTCGTAAGCAACAAAGACCTCTCCTCACCCCGAGGAGAAAGAAACATGGCGGCTCTCTGGTGGCCGTGTGGGCAAGGGGTTCAGGAAAGAGCACATGAGCCCCCTGCAGAGCAGCTGTGGGGACGTGAGGACATCAGCCTGGCCCTCAGACGACGGAGTGCCACAGCCCCAGGGTCAAGGACAGAAAAGGAAGAGATGGCGCCAGCAGAAAAGACAGGGACACCTGAGGTAAGTGGTGGTCTGGGATACGCGATGCACGTGGGTGTCGTCAAAAAGCGCCAGAGGGCTTCCCTGGTGGCGCAGTGGTTGAGAGTCCGCCTGCCGATGCAGGGGACACGGGTTCGTGGCCCGGTCCGGGAGGATCCCACGTGCCGCAGAGCGGCTGGGCCCGTGAAACATGGCCGCTGAGCCTGCGCGTCCGGAGCCTGTGCTCTGCAACGGGAGAGGCCACAGCACTGAGAGGCCCGCGTACCGCAAAAAAAACACAAAAAAACAAAAACCAAAAGAAACAAAAAGCGCCAGAGCCTGAACTCTGTGGACAGGCCCAGCTAAGTTTTTGGACCCAGCGGGATCGTCCTCGTTTCACAGGCAGTCATCCCAAACGCTACGGCACAGGATGTGAGGAGGGCTGGCTGTCCCTCCTCTCCTTGAGGCCAGCAGGGTTTCCAATGAGCCCGTGGGACCCCGGCAGCGTGGTCCACAAGCCGCGGGGAGGGGTGATCTAGAACGTCCAGGGCTGGCGAGGGGCTCCGCCGCCTGCTGCTGCTGCTGCTGTCGGGCTGGAGCCTCGGCCACACAGGGAGGGGGGCCGGGCGGAGGCCACAACCGCCTGCGGCTTTCGGACGCACGGCTCCTCGTCCCGGTCACTCAGGAGCGGAGGCCACTTGCTCCCCGCTCGTCGCCGGCCGCGGTGCCGTGCCGGGACAGCCCATCAGACTTGAGGGAGGACAGGGACACTTGGCTGATGTAGCGGACCTGGTCCCAGGGCGCGGCCCGTGGGGAGTCACGCCGCCGGTTGTCCATGCCGATGTGCACACTGACCTGGGACTCGGTCAGGGGCTTCATGCGGCCCTGCGCCTGCGCCTCATACCACGCCAGCTCTGGCTTCCTGTAGCTGCAAAGCAAGAATCCAAGAGCACCTGAGCCATTCTGGACACACAGCCTTTTTTTGTAAAGCTCGGTGAAGGCCTCTCATGAAGTCTTTAATAACACGCAGTATCAGGGCCTCAAGGCTTTTAAAGGAAAGAAAGGCCACGAAACTCCTATGGCTCAGGGCAAGTTCCCAACTTAGAAACTTTCTAGCCAAATGCCTGGTACATAGTAGGCTGTCATTAACTTTTGTTAAATGATTACAGACAGGGATCCTACAGCTACCTCTCGACATAAACAGCCGTCGAGCAGAGTAACGGGAGGAAGCAGTGCGAGGTGACTGATCAGAGGTAAACTGTTGGCTCGCGGTGGACAAGCCGTTACACAAACACACGCCGGGCCCCGCTTGGGGCGCACACCCACCCCGCCCCCCGGGCCCGCCGCGGGGACTCACCACTTGAGCTGCAGTGACGAGAGGACCACGGACACGGAGGAGGCAGCCATGGCCGCCGAGCCCATCCACGGCTGCAGCACGACGCCGATGGGCATGAAGACACCTGGCCAAGAGGGGGACTACACTCAGGCCGCAGCCCAGGGCAGACAGCGAGGGGGGCCCAGCCTCGCCGCCCACCAGAAGCTCTCCTCAGGGCAGCTCGGAAGCCCCTGGGCTGGCCGCTGACTGCGTGCCCGTGGGCCTGAGGCGGGCGGTCTCAGAGCTGGGTGGGGGGGCGGGGGCACCGTCAAGGGGACTGGGGTCCCCCACCCACCCTGACCTTCCTGGGACCATCCAGACGTGCCATCACCTGTTTGGGGGCAGCTCCAGGGGACAGGGCGCCCCAGGGACTTGCAGGTGCCACCATCCAGGGGCACCTCGGGGGTGTGAGCACCAGGACAACAGGCTGACGACCACAGGCCCTCTCTCCACGGACGGTCCTCCCTCAAGGGCGTCAAAGCACCTTGATGAGGGGCAACAAGACCAGGTCCTGGGACAGAGCCGCAAGCCCGGGAGGGGACCAGGTCCTGAGCCGGCCGCAGGGCAGGAATGCACCTGCTGGAGCCGGGCTGTGGTGGACGCGCTGATCCACCACGTGAGGCAGTGCCGACAGCTCGGACACAACAGGGGAACGTGGGGTGCGACAGTCATGTTTAAAAATAGGTCTTGGCCCATGTAGGCGCTTTCCTTGCAGGAGTCTTTGGAACAACTCTTCCCTCTCTGGTGACACAAGATACAGTGGGGGAGGGAGGACTTAGGGAGCAGACAATATCCATCTCTTCCCATGATTATTTCTGAGTCAGGATAAAACCTAGGCGGGATTAATTCTTAAGACAAAGTTCTAAAGCACTGATCCCGGGCTTAGCGTGTAACGGGTACCCCATAACTGTTAATATTGATTATTTTTCAGACTGTGTGTCTTAATAATGTTCCAGAAAACAGGGCCAAGGTAAATAGGGTTGAGCAGCTTGGCCAGCTTTTCAGAGAGGCCAGCAGTGAACAGAAGGCTTGGGTTCTCCCTGCAGTTTCTCATTTACCTTTGGAGACTTACAGAGCGGAACATGATAAAATCAACTCTTTCTTCAAGGCTTCTGGCCACAACTAGGGCCAGAGGCAACAGGGCAGCGAGGGCCTACCTGCTGCAATGGGGATCCCGACCAGGTTGTAGATCAGTGCCAGCACCAGATTGAGTCGTATCCTCTGGACGGTCCTCTTGGAGAGGTGAATGCTGGCCACCACGTCAAGCAAGTCATTCTGCAGGAGAGGAGCACACGGTGAACTGCGAGCTCCACTCTGCGGCCCTCGGCACTCTTGCTACGGGCAACAGCGAGGGGAGACGCAGCAGAGCTCACTCTGATGAGGACGACGTCAGCTGCCTCGATGGCCACGTCCGTGCCCGTCCCGATGGCGATGCCCACGTCGGCCCGGGCCAGGGCCGGGGAGTCGTTCACACCATCGCCCACCATGGCCACTCTCTTCCCCTCGTTCTGGAGCTCCTGGACCTTGGCCACCTTATGAGAAGGCAGCACCTCCGCAAAGACTTTGTTGATGCCAACCTGAAAGGAAAGAACAGCAGTCAATAAAAAAGCAAATGCACAATAACATCCAGTGTTGCCGAGGGGCAGGAACAGGAGCAGAAGCCCACGAGCCCTCAGCCTCCAGGTCCCGTCACCAAGTCCTGCAGATGCCAGGTCGCACAGCAAATGTACCCCCGCTCCCATCCCAACACCCCGCGGTGGTCTGGGACCCTCGCTGGCCTCCTGCCCACATCCTGCCCTCCCAACACTCTTCTCCAGATGCCGTCCCGGTGACCTTTTTGAAACAGTAATCATTGGTCACGTTACTCTCCTGCTTCAAGGCCTCCAGCAGATCCCATTTCCCTTAGGACAACGTCCAAACTCCTCTGCCTGCCTCCCAAGGTCCCCAGGTCAGGTCCTGCCTGGGCCCAGCTCCCCGCACCCCACCCCCCAGCCCCAGCGGGCCCCGCCTTGGCCTCTCCAACTCGCTGCTACCTTGCACCCACAGGCGGTGCTCGTGCTGCCTGCTCTGTCCTTCAAAGGTCACTTTTCCTGTCCCCAGCACCCCTTCTTCTTCATCTGACTCCTGCAGGCCTCCTCTCCCCTGCAAGGTGTCCCCGGCCCCCGCCAGGCTGAGGGGTAAGCTGGCAGCTCCCATGCGTCCCATGCACTCTTCCACTGGAGCGCCCAGCACCTGGTTTACACTCGGTCCCTGGGCCACCCTCCCCACAGGACCGTGAGCTCCTCGAGGGCGGTGCCCTCTTCACTCCTCTCTGTAGCCTCTCTGTCACAGGGGTGGCGCTTAGTAAGTGCTTGCTGAATGCAGGAACAAGTTTTAACGCGGGAGTGGGTGTACTCTCAGAAGGATGACTGACGGGGCACTGCCGCTCCCTTCCCAAGGAGCAATTCCTTCTCAAAAGCAGACAGCTTTACACACATGTCCGCAAGGGGTGGTATACAGTTGTCTGGAGTTTGCACTGGAGCCCTCCCCGCGAGGCAGGGCAGGCAGGCGTCCGGTCGTGCTGCCCTCGTGGCCCAAACTCAGACCCTAGCGCCGCAGAAGAACTGCCGGGACCCAGGGGCTTATCTGGTGCAGAGTGAGAAGAGCTGGGCGGGCAAAACACTCTGTTAATATAAAGGCTACAAGATTGTTTATTTCAGCCCTCAAGCCATGGTCTTTTTTCCTCAGTGCAGTGACTGGAAAATAAAGAATGTTGGAACAGCTTTTCCGGGGCTGCAGCCACCATGCAGGAATGAATGATGGCACCCAGGCCCCAGTAATGTGATCTTTGGGGCAGCAGCAAAGTGGTCCCCTGTGGGATGTGCACGGCTCCGAGATCTAAGCGTGTGGAGAGAAAAGCCCCAGCGAGGGGGGAGGACCAGAGCAAAGCTGAGTGCTCAATGCACTAGTGCTTATCTATCTTCCTTAAACTGTTTCTGCCAGCTTGAAATCACTTGCAGTTTCAGATGTGGGAGACATCCCGGCCCCCGGCCCTTACCTGGGTGGCAATGGCTCTGGCTGTCTTGCGGTTGTCCCCCGTGATCAGAACCACATCCACGCCCATGCTCTTCAGTGTGTGCACGGCCAGGGCGGCCTCCTGCTTGACCGCATCTGCGATGGCGATCATGCCACAGAGCACACCTGTAGGAGACACCGCAGGTGAGCACACGTGGCAGCGCCCTGGGCAGCCCGAGAAGCAAGTAAGACTTCATGATGCGGAACAGTTTTCCTAATACCATGTTACACGCCCAAAGCAAAACACCAAATTGTACAAGAGAATACGGTTTTGATTTTTTTTTTAATTTACATACATTTCCAGATGCGTACAAAAGTCTGGAAGGACTGTTAAAAAGTTAACAGTGGCTCTCTGAGGGGTAGGATAATGAGGGATTCCATTTTTTTTACAGCTCTCGGAATTTTCCAGATTTTCTGAAAGGAACATCTCTTCCTTTGCAGAGTGCCTGACTCATAATAACTCAACACCTGTTAGCTATTAAAACATGAGAAATACAACAAATGCTACTTAAAAAGTGACACATGTCCAAACAGCTAGAAAATCAATCCTTCCTTTCTGTCTCTTCCTACAGAAAACACTTTGTAGAATTTTTTTTTTTTTTTTTTTTTTGAGTGACTCTTTAGGTACTGACACAGGAAGGCATTCGAGGACTGGGGACTGAGGTGTGACGGGAGCAGTGAGGGTGAGGATGTGTAAGAGTCTCTTTTAATTGAGCCATTTCCAGCTTGACAAGCTGAGGGGGTTGTGCGTTTAAAGGACTCGGGGGAGTATGGCAGTGGGAGCCGGAAAAAAAGAGAGAGAGTGGAGGTGGAGAGAGAGAGAGAGAGAGAGAGAGCGAGAGAGAGAATATGGGAAAAGAGGAGCATTCAAAATACAGCAATTAAATTATTTCTTATTTGCATGTCGTTTTTACTTCTATTAGCAGAAACTAACAGTAACAAAGTGATTCCAATCTACCTGAGATGTAAAGCCCAGGATATAACCTGAGTACTAAGATACATACAATCTTGAGAAGCTCTGTGAAAGTTGCAGGGGATTTCAGTGTGTAAAGCATCTTAAGAGTAAAACCTCTTAGGAAGCCAACTGCTGTTTCACCTGCAGTGATGAATGAGAAAGGATGACTTTCAACTGCCAACCTGGGCAGATGCAAACGATGGTGGGGAAGACAGTTTAGAATCCCAAGAGCAAAGAGGCTGAAGCCATCTTCACTCTGGCGGCAAAGATGGAGGTGGCCAGAGGGGCCCTCAGGATTGACAATGAAGTGAAAAAAATGGCAAGACAGCCTTTTCGAAAATAGAACTAAAATTAACAGTGAGAAAGATTTACTTTAAAAAAAAAAAAAAAAAAAAAGGACTCTATTTCTGCCTGACGTCTCCAGCTTCACTTGAGAGCAGAGGACAGGGGAGCAGAGCAGTACCGTCGATGGCCACCAGGATGGCCGTCTGGCCTTTCGTCTCGTGATCGGTCATCGCGTCGCTGATGTCGCTGGTGACGGTCAAGCCGTTGCGCCTCATCCACTCTCGGCTGCCGATCAGCACAGAGAAGGTCTGCGGGACCGCATCTGCTCAAAGGAGTGTGTGGTTATTCCCAAAGAGGCCAAGTTCACGGTGAGAAAGCACTAAAAACCATGGGGCGGTTTCAACAGCAAAACATCCACTTGACGGTTCTGGAAAAACCACAACCTAGTAAACACCTCTTGGAAAACCATCCTTAAAGAACCAGGGGAAAAAGAACGACTAACATGCAGAACCGCGGTATGAATGAAAACATGTAAAGATGTTACAAACATATTAAACACCGCGTAGTGTACCTACTGGCCTTTAGGGGTGTCCGCTGCTGCCGTTAGACTGGATTAGAATTGGGATTAGAAGCGGTTAGTTATTTGGTCAGCGCCGAAAGCCAGTGTGGACTAGATCCATCACTGCTTGGTACAGATGATGCAAGGTGAATCAGCTAACAACCAGCCTCCGTGTATGAAAGGTTTTGAAGCTATACCTCCTAAGAGGCCAGCTGAGTCCTGCACCTGTCACCTCTACCTTAGGTGTCGCTGATAGACCAGTCCCTGGAAGGCAAAGGAAAGGTCATCCCAGGGCTTTAACTTGCCATAAGGCGGTAATAGCTTCTAACAAAATCTAAATCAAGATTTAACTACTATCATACTTAAGAGCAAACACGAGACATGGGTTTTTTGGTTTGGGGGCGTTTCCACTCTCTTATGCTGATGGCTAGCACCCTTTGAATAAGAAAGGCCGTTATTCAAAAAGCAGCTGTCCCTCCAGTGCCCCTTCTCGACTTGGGCAGACCATTTCCATTCACTTTCCCTGACGGCTGCCAGCTCTGTAAATACATCACGTCCCATCAGAGTTGACCACATGGAGGTTTCCTGTTTAGGAGGAACAAAAGGAAGACTCCCATCTGCCTACCCTGTAGCTTACGAGTCTTATCCCAAGACTAACCTGGGCTAAGAAAGAGGAGACTCGAGACTAGGGAGCAGGTAAGCAATACTCCATGACTCTAAGTCACACACTGCTTTTGTCTGCCATTAGCGTCAAGATTCAGCCACATTGAAGAACATGAGAGAAGCTGCAGGCTTCCCTGGGAGACAGGCGTGCGGCGCACCAGCCCTGAGTCACCTTCTCCGCAGTCGGGAACCACGGGGCGAGCCTGGCATGGCGTTCTCCATGGCTGGGCCCGGCCCCCGGTGGGCCAGGCAGCGGAAACCGAGGCCAGGGATACCTGTTTCCATGGGGATGCTGCTGACCCCGTTCAGGTGGGCGGTCGGTTGGCCACGTGGGCGCTCGCCCTGGGCCAGGATGCCCTCCACGTTGCTGACTTTACAGCCGATCCCACAGCCGGGCACCGCCTGGAAGTCCATGCAGTATCCCAAGGTCTCTGTGCCAAGTTCCTGGGAAGGAAAGTAGGGGAGAGGAAGCAGAAAACAGGTGAGTCAAGAGGGAGTCAGGACAGAGGTGGGGGTGAGGCGGGGGGAGAGCAGCAGACACCAGAATTTAGAGGGAAGGGAGGGACGGGAGGAGAACTTCCGGGAAAGGTGGAGAGATCGACGCTCAAGTCAGCTACTCTTTCTCTCTTATAGGACACAGTCATTTAAAACAGCCTCAACTCTCTCCTAGAGTTTGGATGCCTGGGGAGAGCGGACAGGTTGCAGTCCAGAAAGGAGAAAGGCAATTCACATCAAACACCCCAAATTAAGGGCTGGGGTCAGGGAGGGGGTGGCGGGGATGAAGGTGCCAAAGGGAGGAAAGATTTTCTTTTTATGTTGCAAATAATTTCATAAAAACGATGGAATAGGTAAGTGGTAACAAACTATTTTAAGGCCATCAAGGGATAATTGCCCATGGCCAGACCCTGGTGGGGACGTGGCAGGAGAAAGGGAAGGGCTGGGTTTATTTGGGTAACAGAACCCAAAGGAAGGATGCCTGGGGGTGAGCAGAATTCTTTCTGAAACATCAGAAGGATGAGAGGGGAAATAGCCGCACCCTACACAAAGGACACGACGAGAAATGAGATTTCTGAAAGATGCGCTGTCCGAGAAGAGTTGTCAACTTTTCCCCAGGGCATCCATGTCACCTTCTACATTTACTGATAATTGTCCTGTTCAGACAGTTTACATGTTTTCAGGGCAGTATTCTGGCACATCCTGCTGCCTCCACGCGCAGACTGAAAACAGAGAAAGCTAACTAGGCCCTCTCACCTGCAGAGGTCAGAGGAGGAAGGCTCCCCACTAACTGTGCCAACAACCCACAGTCCTCTGGTCACTTCTGCTGCTTTCTCTCCGTCTCAGGAGTCCCCAGTGGAATGGATTTCTCCCGACCTGGCTCCAAGACCCCCTTCGTTTTTGTATCCCTTTGCACGAAGCGCTCGTGAGGGACTGAATACGCCTGTCTTCCCCACCCGACCATCAACTCCCAGCAGGCAGAGCTCGCATCTTATGAATTCTTACTCCCCTGAGCTCGGGATGCTCAGGAAATGCCTAATGAATGGCCATTAGCTCATTAACACTGAACTGCTTTGTGAAGATCTGGAAACGTGACAAGGGACCTGCCGCTGTGCGCTGCATCCCCACCTGCTCCAGGGGGCCTGCTCAGCAGTTTCCAGACCACACGAGCCAAGGCCTCTGTGGAGGCAGCTGACGTGGGGGCCAGGGGCAGCGAGGAGGAAAGGCGTGTGAGGAGGAAGGAGCCCGGAGTCTTCTGGCCCAGCTGGGGAGAGCGGGGGAGCCGGGGGAGCGAGGGCCCAGCAACGCCCAGTCCACCTACCTCTTTACAGTATCTGGTGACTGCCACGCCCAGGGGGTGCTCACTGCTGGCCTCCGCAGTCCCCACCACAGCGAGCACCTTCCGGAGGGGCAGCGTGGCCACGTCCACGAGCAGAAGGACCCGCATGACTTTGGGGACCCCGTGGGTGATGGTGCCAGTTTTGTCAAACATCACAGTCTTTATCTGCCCAAAAAACCACATCTCAGTGACCAAAACACAGATGGAAGGGACTCTCAGAGTCCTCACAATCTCGAGGCAGAACTTCACTCAACCCACCCCAAGCAGGTCACAATACACTCCTTCAGGACACACTACAGAACCCTCTGCGTCCATCCCAAGGCTCAACCACTCCCTCAGCCAAAACATTGTTTCCCTCTCTGCCCAGTTAAAAAAAAATCCACACTCCGGCTTAACCTGGACCAGGGTGGGCCAGAAGCTCTCACTCTGATGTAACAAGGAGGCATCACCGTGCAGTAACGCCGTGCGGCCTCCTCCTCGGGTCGGGTCAGGAGCGTGACCCTGGGGGGTTTGCCCATCTCCCGGTCCACCGCTATCTGCCGGGTCAACCACTGTTTCCTCCGGCCTGCATCCGTGCAAAAGCCTACGGAGGGTAGTGTTCTCGAATTCCAAGTTCACAAAAGGAAGGGAGTGTTCCTTGGCCATAATAACAAGCAACCACAGAGCTAGTCTGGGGACCTGTCCCCCTTGGTCAGCGGCAGCTTGGCACTGGTCCCCACGGGTCTGGGCTCAGCCAGTCGGAAGCAGCCACACTCGGCGCCTGAGCTTGCGTGGCCGGAGCCCAGCAGTTCCCTCGCTCCACGCTCCCCTGGACCTGGTACAAGGTCAGCCCTTGTGCTGAGACTGCGTGCCGCAGGCTCGGTTCTCCCTCATTTAGCAAACATCAGCTCTGCTTCTCATTTCTGACTGAGTGGGGCCTCTTTACCACTATTAACCGGCCTTCCTCTGACAGTCCTGGCCAGCTTCTAGTCCAGCCCCCGCTCCGCCGCCAGGACGATCTTCCTGCAGGAGCTTCACCCCCGCCCCTGCCCCCGTGTGTCCCTGCTGCTCTTGGTTAAGCTCTGGACTGGGACTGAATAACCCTCCAAAGCCCTTCAAGGCCCCTCTCTCCCCTCCTTCCTCCTTCAGTACCCTCATCTCCTGTCAGTTTCTCTCTCCTTCTGGCCCTCATTTAGTTATTGAGAAAATAACTGTGGAGTGACTCCAACATGCCAGGAGCGGGGCAAGATGCCGGGGACACAATGGCGGGGACATGTTCACGGTCTCCAGTCCTACGGAGTCTGGGACCAGGCAGCACGGCCCCCCCGGGTCCTTTCCACGTGCTGGTCCCATGGCCGGGACACCCCTCCCAACCTCTGTTGTCAGCTGACAGGTCTCAGACCTCCCCTGAGCACCTGCACCAGCGCCCACCCCATCCAACACACACGGGTCTACGGTTAGGCCCCTGAGGAACTGTCCTCACGGCATCTCACACTCTCCATGGCGCCTGCTGCTTGCTTGCTCCGTGTCCGTCTTTCCTGCTGGACAGTAAGGTCCTTGAGAGCCAGGGCCCAGCACAGGACCCACACAGAGTAAACGCTCAACAGGTACCAAAGAAATAAAGGGAGGATGGAAGGCTGGGACTGCTGGGCTGAAGGGAGATTCTTCATAGACACTGCTACCTGCTACTCCACCCGAGGTCCCAGGACCCTCCCCGATCACGTGGAGACAGCGCAGCTACTTTCCCCGGAGCCTGACCACCTGGCTGTGAGCCCGGAGCTGCACATTTCAGCTGGAGGCCTTTGGCAAGTCGCCCAGCCCACTCCTGCTGCACTTCCCTCACCTGTAAAATGGAAACAACCAGCACCCACCTCAGGGTTGTCGATGAGATTAAGTTAATATTTATACAGCACTTAGGTCTTTGACCGTGAGCTGCTGCCGGTCCTGCTGTCATTCCCAGTTAGTCCTGGCTTCCTGTTTTACTTAATTAGTAGTGCTACCCTCAGTCCTCTTTCAGGTTTTTCTCTGAATATGAAATTTAAACAGGTACTATTTTCACTAGGACTCTCTAAGTCAAAAAAAAAAAAAAAATCACGCAGCATATACAGCTACAAAATCACCCCAGCCAAGACCTCGAAGGAAGCGGGGGCCAACCTTGTGGGCCAGCTCCAGAGGCTTGCCTCCCTTGATGAGTATGCCATTCTGGGCGGCCACCCCCGTGCCCACCATGACGGCCGTGGGCGTGGCCAGGCCCAGAGAGCAGGGGCAGGCGATGCACAGCACCGTGATGGACGTCTGGAATGCAAACCGGAGGACCACCTCTGCCTGGGAGATATGCTTGCTGGATGTCTGACGAGAGGAAAGAGACAGAGGCAGGGTGAGAGTTAGATGAGGCATCACACGGAATTCTGATCATATGAGAACATTCCACTCTGTCGTGGCCTATATGGGAGTAGTATCTAGAGAAGAGTGGATACATGTAACTGATTCACTTTGCTGTACAGCAGAAAATGACACAACCATGTAAATAAACTCTACTCCAATAAAAATTTAAAAAAAGAACATTCCAGCGCAGGTGGGGGACCTGAACTGGCGTGATGAGCTGGGCTCCAGGAGACACGGTGCGTCCCGCTCTGCTTTGCAGGTATCGCGTGGTTCACTTTACTGCTCCATATCCTACTGTTCCAACCTGATCCTACAGGCTTTCCTCAGGGAAAGGCATTATGAGAGGAGAGAGGCACATAAAAATCCCCGATAGGGGAAGAGCACAGGCTCTAGAATTGGACCACGTAGGTCTACATCCTGGCTCTGACACTCCGTGCCTTAGCTTCCTCACGTACAACATGGAGGTAATAATACCCAGCTCACAGGTTTTTGTAAGGATGAAATGAGGTTACATACATACAAATACATACAAACATAAATATACATAGTACAACGCCTGACGTAGGAGAGAGGAGTCTGAGAAAGTATAGCTATTACATTATCATTATTATTTTTATTATTATGAAAGCTTTAAAAAACTATAGCTCTTCAAGGAATCAACTCTAAGGTAATAATCATGTGGGAAAAGATACAAGGATATTTCTCACTGTGCTTTTTCATAAAGGGAAAAAACTGGAAACAACCAATGGGGGATTGGTTAATTAAACTGCAGGCATGGCGTGCATAATGGAATATTATGCACATGTTAAAATGATGATGTATACATATTGACATGGAAAGATATCAGTAGCATTGCTGAATTAAAAAAAACAAGCATAAAATGGCATGTGTTGTGATTCAATTAGTGCAAAATTATCTGCCTATATCTCTAGATGGCCTTTCAACAATACTGGAAAGATGTTCACCAAAGTGCAGAAAAGTGCATGTAGGGATGGGATTTGGAGCCATCTTTATTTTCCACCACTGCTTCCTTTATAAAAATCCAAAACCAAAAAAATACAGGTCTCCTTCCCAATTACCTGGTGACACATATTGGTATGATTATTTGCATCCTAACATCTTGAGTTACCTTGGTTTATCTTTCAAAATGGCTAGTATCTCTGGAGAACTGAGATGAGAACTGAGAGATGCTGTATTCACTTAATTACAGTAAAATGCATGTTTTCTAAATCGAGGATATAGACCACAATCTCTTTAGATCCATCTACCCTCTATTCTTTGACTTTGAAAGGCAGATTCTAAAATAAGCTACATTATTAAGGGTCATTCAATTTTCACAGAAACAGTTTGATTTCGGTAGAAGGACATGCTGTTTAACACATAATGTGATTTTGTAGAGGTAAGGATGAAGTGCTGTGTTTTGTTTTGTTTTGTTTTTAACCTCCAGAAATTCTTGTCAAAATCACACCTGGCATTCTGAGAGGAGTGGGGTGGACTTCTAGAGGTTGACACGAACCCTGTCCCTACAGATGATTTGTACAGAGCAGAGTGACAACAATGTCTTAAAGGAACATGCAGTACCTCATTTGTCAGCATCCTCCCTGATATTGCAGATAAAAACAAAAGAAGTGAAAGTAAGATGGAAAGGTAGGGAACAGCAGGAAGCCACATATTCCAACTTGTTTAGGGCCGAGTTTCCCATAGCCACATGCCAATGAGCTGCTCTCCCACAAAAGCCAAAATTTTTGGCAGTCCGGTGCCATAAAAGCCACTGGCAAATTCTAGGAATAGTCATAGGCTACTCTTAAAACACTGAAATCTCCCTAGATGTCAGAAAGTGTTTCACCTGGACATTTTAAGATAGGAAATTTGAGGGAGGAAAATCATATCTAAGTGAATGACAAGTACACCAAGAATACATGATATGCCTTTAACTATGGATAAAAAATTTTTTAGGAAAAAATGATCTATTCTGTATTTCCAGTTTCTTATTTTATGGCTCTAAGGTAAAATACATGTTAGACTGGGATAAGTATGAGATATTTTAAAAAATAAGGTAAAACATTGTTCTACTCACTGGGTAGTTATCAAATACTACTCCAAGTGGGCCATTAGCTTTTTATGTCTCTCCAGGTTTCTCCAACTCAGCACTATTGACATTTGGGGCCAGATAATTCTTTGTTGTGGGGACCTGTCCTGTGTGTTGTAGGATGTTTAGCAGCATCCCTGGCTCCTATCATACATACTAGAGGCCAAGCAGCACCCCTCCTCAGCCACGACAACCAAAAACATCTCCAGACATCACCAAATCAAAACCACTCCCAGTTGCCAAACACTGATGTATGTAAGTTCTTATTGCTGAAGCAGAAAAGTTTTGTATCTTTTTTTGAATTTTGATAAAACTGTATTTCCTAAGATAGTATTCTTCGTCCACTTTTTAAACTCAAAGCTATATATTCCATTGCTTCATATATAATGTTTAATAAATAATTATTAAAAAGCTATTAGTATTACTTGGGAAGCTGCAAGGTTAGATGGTCTATATGGAGGTAGCCAGCAAAAAATCTATTTTTCTTAAAACTGGTCAAATAATATTATCAAGTTATTGTGACTGACATGACTTATCTTCTGTGATGTGTGCCTCATAACCTCAAAAATGGCCAACAGTACAAAATGTAAATGCTTTAAGCATTACACCTGAGAGCCAGTGGTGTTTGAAATTATCTAACCAGAAAGCAAAAGGCATCTTTAGTGAAAACCTGCAGGGGTTGCGTAGTTGCATAGCCAGGATTGTCCTACCCTGGCTGAGGTTTTGCTGCCAATAAGTGAAGCAAGCAAATAAGATGTAATGGGTAATTAAAGCCCAGTGAATTTAAGACATGAAAAAATAGGATTAATGGCCATCGATTATTTAAAACCCAACAAGCACACTGCCCACAGCATTCAACTTACAGGGAAGTATTTCTGAACAACACCGAAATCGATGAAGCCGATTACAATCCATACCACCAACGTCAAAGTTGAAATGATGATGATAAATGGGACAAAATACCCACTAAACCGGTCAGCCAGTTGCTGAATGGGTGCCTATGGAAATAAAACACGAAGACCGCGGGAAATTACAATCTCCAAAGAAATAAACCACCACAAGCATGGACAAGGACTGGGATTCCTGGCTCCCTCATTAAGTACATTTATTAGTCAATCTCTCTACTCAGTAAAATCTGCCTGATTCTATGGGACTCTTGGAATAATTTCTAGAGAGAGGCAGCTGAAGTTATATTGCCTTTAAAATTCCTTCACGGGACTTCCCTCGTGGCGCAGTGGTTAAGAATCCACCTGCCAATGCAGGGGACACAAGTTCGAGCCCTGGTCCGGGAAGATCCCACATGCCGCGGAGCAACTAAGCCCGTGCGCCACAACGACTGAGCTCTGCGCTCTAGAGCCCGCGAGCCACAGCTACTGAAGCCCGCGCGCCTAGAGCCTGTGCTCCGCAACAGGAGAAGCCACTGCAATGAGAAGCCCACGCACCGCAACAAAGAGTAGCCCCCGCTCGTCACAACTAGAGAAAGCTTGCACGCAGCAACGAAGACCCAACATAAAAAATAAATGAATTTTTAAAATAAATAATAAATAAAATAAAAAATAAAATCCCTTCATTACCTTGGACATCTGAGCCTCTTCTACCAGCTTCACAATCTGAGCCAAGGTGGTGTCGTTGCCCACGTGGGTGGCAGTGACGAGCACGGAGCCGTGGGCGTTCATGGACCCGGCGATCACCGTGCTGCCGGGCTTCTTCGTGACAGGCATGGCCTCTCCTAGAGGTGGAGAGGAGACCAACGCCACGCGCTGAGCCCCGTCGGCATCCCTGGGGCCTGGCCAGGGTGCTGACGCCTACCCAGAGGGACGGAGTCCTCACCTGTGATGAGGGACTCGTCGGCCATGGTGCTGCCTTCCAGGACTTTCCCATCCACTGGGAACTTGCCCCCGGGGACGACCTTGATGATGTCACCACGTTGCACCAGCTCCATGGGCACCTGCTCCTCTCTGCAACAGACGCCACTCAGGTTACACTCGCGGACCGCGCACGGGAGCTCACCCTCCTGGCCTGTCACCCAGGTCGGGTTCTAGACAAACCGCCTGCTTTACACTGAGCGGCAGTAACCACTTTATCTGCCGTTTACAGACTGAGTCAAAACTGTGCAGCTGCTAAGTACCAGGCGCTGTCCTAGTTCCTGGGAAGCCGGCTGTGAGCAGGACAGCCGAGTCCCAACGCTCATGAGGGCAATTCTGTGGAGCTAACAGACAACAAGCAAGATAGTCCCGGGTCTTAAATAAGTGCTGTGCTGACAACGATGTGACTGGAGGGCTTCCCTCGGTGGTGGCGGAGGAGGAGAGAAGTGGGAAGGCCTCACGCGAAGATGACATTTGAGCCGGACGACAAGAGGGCCCCATATACGGGGAAGGAAAACTCAAGGGAGAGGAAACAGCTAATGCAAAGGCCCTGAGGCGGGACAGAGGGGGCCTCTGATAAATAGGAAGCCAGCAAGCATGGCTGGAGGGACATGAGTGAAGCAGGCAGAACCCGGACCATGTCGGGTCTTGCAGGGCAAAGTGCAGGCTTTGGGCGTTAAGGTTTTCAGTAGGAAAGTGACATAAGCTGGTTCGCATTTTCAAGTCAGCTCTCTGGCTACTGCATGAGAATGGGCTGTAGGGGCAACAGTAGAAGCTGACAGAAGGGTTCGGCTGTGGCAGCAGTGGCCTGGGCTGGAGACGGAGGGAAGAGATGCCCAGGAACTCTGGGGGGCATGATGTGTCAGCAAGATGTGTGTATGCGCTATGCGCATAAGAGAAGCAAGCATGAGCTCTTCGTTTCAGTTTGAGCAACTGGGTGGATGAGAAGTTGTTTAATGAGATGGAGACGCCTATGTAGAAGCGGCCATGGGAGGGAGAGGGAAGAGAAGGAGTGGAGAGGAGATGAAGATCTCTGTTCTCACGTGTCGGGTCCAAGATGCCTACTTGACTTCCACATAGACATGTCAAGTCGGGAGAGCAGGGAGCTGAAAACTGGATTCGGGCTGAGACTAGAGGTCAAATGGGGAAGCTGTCACAATACAGATAGGATCTAAAGCCTGAAATGGTACGAGCTTCCTCAGGAGTGTGCCTGGAAGAGAGACCTGGGTCCTGGGACATGCGCGTGTCAGGAGGCTGAGCAGGTGGAAGGGCCAGCGAGGGATGGGGGCAGAAAAGGAGAGAGTGGGGCCTTCAGGAGGGAGCACCCATCGCACCACATCGCATACGGTGAGGTCGTTACCTAGACACAGATACGTGTAAAACTCATCACGCCGTACACTTGGGATGTGTGTACTTCAGTGAAGGTAAGTTATCTCTTAATAAAAAAAAAAAAAAGGCATATTTTAAAGGGACAGAAAAGGGGGTAGATGCTGGTGAGAGGCTGCAATGAGGATTAAATAAGAGCAGTGGTTGATTTGGTTCATGGAAATGACGTGATGTCTTTGGCAAAAGGGATCTCAGAAACTGGTGGAGGGACAAGGTTGGCTGGAACGGGCTGAGGAGAGGCTGGGAGGTGAGGAAACAAGAAAGCAGCCGAAGACAACGTTCAAAAGAAGTTCTGTGTGAAACAGAAGAGAAAACCAGCAGTAGAAGAGCGTGTGCATTAAGACATGAAATTGTGAATTGTGAGTATGTGTGAACTGTCTGCTGGGGAGAACGGTCCCACAGAGAGCGAGAGAGACAGATGGGGGGACAGGAGGGGACGACAGGAATAGAGTCATCCAGGGAGCGAGGATGGCTTTGGCAGCATCTCTCTGAAAGCGTCACAGGGACCAAATTTACTTAACTGTATATGTAACGTTGGCTCATGAACCAATGGGGAGAAAGTCAGAAAAGCAGGGGTGTAGAGCAAGCGGGGCTCTGAGGTTATTTTATGCCTTCCTTTCATTCTACAAAGACTACATTTAAACTATCACAGAGAGAGGGTACAAAAGCCACCTTACTTGAGAAGGAAAACCAGACATGTATTGAGTGCAGGTGCTATGCTCGATGTTGACATGAATCCTCCCCAAACCACGTGAGGTAGGTGACAGTCACCCCTATTTGTTCCCAGGTTGACCTGAGATGCTGCCTGTGGGCACCGAGGGCAGGGCCCGCTGCACAGTCAGTGCTGGTGACTTTGACCATCACCTGACGGACGTGTTCACTGTTGACCGGCCTCCATGTACCAGGCACTGTGCTGGGCTGGGGTTACACACAGGACAAAACTCTCAGGTCTATGACCTAGTAACTAAAGTCAAGTTGGTCTATTTAAGTTCAGTAATGGCCACAATAAAAGAAAGGGAGCACGGAAAAGGAGAGACCTTTAAAGGGGAAGCGGGCAGCAGCCTGAGTCCTGAGTGCTGGGAACAGGTGTGTATATCTGTTTGGTGGCTGGGGGGACAATAAATGAAAAGAAGGGGAGGATCTCTACAACCGAGAATATCCTCTGCTTCTTTTTAAAGTCTCCCAGAGATGGAGACGCCCAGGCTCCAAAACTCCCCTCCAAGGCCCATCTGCACAGCCTGGAGTTTACTGTCCACAGAGGTCTCCGCGGCAAGAGAAGCCTGTGTCAAAGAAGGAGCAGCTGCTCCCGTAGAAAGGAGGTGACGACGGGGGTGTGGGCAGAGCCTCCTCTCCCATAACCTGACTCCTAAGCTTTAAAATGTTTGCTTAAAAATCATGATTCTTGCCTCAAATGTCCACTGGGTGTCTTTCTAAGAAATCGTTAGTGAGGCTCATCTCCGCTTCATCTAACTTTGAATTTCCCCTTTGAATCTGAATTAACCATATCTTTCTTACTCTGAACAGCTGAGTTTATGGGGTACAGCCCTCTAGGGGGGCAGGTGGCTCCTTCTGGTGAATTCCCAGTCGCATTTCTGCTTCAGAAGCTCATGTCCCCCAAACGCCAAGCTGTGGGAATACAGTTTTTTCTGAGCATTTCTTCAGCTCTGAGGGTTTCTGCCAGCAGCCTGCCCACCTCACCTGTCCCCTCTTCTCTACTCTCCTGCCTCATCTAACACAAAGCAAAAAGACGAAGAAAAAACTTACAAGAGAAGGGCCACTGGGCTATATAACACGTATAATTCCGTTTTCCTAATTATAAGAAACAGAACACTTCAACGTGGGAGATTGGGGACCCGCTGTGCAGGCCTCACAGTGTCAAGCACACGCACATGTATGATGCATTTCTTTAACATCTGACAGTCATTTCATGCATTCAGCTAGTGAGGATCTGAGCGCCTGCTATGTAGTCCCAGGACGACTGGAGGCACCAAGTGCTCCAGGCCCCAGAGGACAAGGCAGTCTGACCAGGGGACAAGGGGTCAGGCAAAGGGGAAGGAAGAAAGGCATTGGTTGGAGGGCGGGGGGTGGGCGAGTGCAGGGGCGCCTCCTCCTGGGACCCGCCAGCGGGGTGGCCGGGAGGAGACGGAGGGACGTCAGGACCAGAGGCTGAGCCCAGGAGGCACAGGCGCAGATTCCAAGTCTCACGTGCGCGTCTAGGGATGCGGACTTTATCCTAAACCTCCGAAGGACTGGCAGCTACAGAGTATCAGATCTGTGCCTCCAAGAGCTGGATGGTTTGCATGTGGAAAACATCAGGAAGGAGACAAGGCTGGAGCAGGAGGCCAGGGAGGGGCTGTTGCGGGGCTTTAGGGGAGAGAGCCCGGTGGCCTGAACAAGCACGGCAGCGGTGGGAGGGGCAGCGGCCGGGGCCACCAGAGCTTGTGGAGCCGGAATCAAGAGGACGGAGACCAGCTGTGTGGACGAGGGAAGGGAAGGGGTTGCAGAGGACGGCCACTGAGATCTGACGTAGGTTTGGGAATGAAGACACGAGGTCAGGGGACACAAAGACAACAGGGCCAACGCTGAAACCCCGACTATCACCCACATTTAAGGAATGAGGGGCGCAAAGAGAGTGCACAAAGGGAAACGCAAGTAGCAGCTAGGGAAGAAATTACCACTGATCACCTACACAGATGCTCCTGTCACCCAAGATTCCGGGCGGAGAGGAAGGACACGTGCCTCTGGCAGAGGGACAGAGGAAGGGACGGGCTGAGCCCCTCTGAAAGGAGCCAGCTGAGACGCAAAGCCCCGGTGGCCTGCAGGAGGCGTCGCAGACCTGTCCACGCTGGCCGAGGCCCAGGCCCTGCAGGAGGCTGCCTGGGGCCCCTGGCACAGCACATGCCACGTTACAGGAGGCGAGAGAGCGGCCCTGGCCCTGGCAGGGCAGGTGTGACCACGGCCCGAGCACCCCGTCAGGAAGGTGGGGTAGGAGTGACCACTCCCACCTGTCTGACGGACACGAACTGCAAAACACAGGAGGGGACCCAGCTCCAAGCACATGGCCTGTCTCAGGCAAAGCCAGAAAGAACTCTGGTCTTCTGGCTCCTAGCTTAAAAAGTGATACCACCACACGTGATGGCAGAAGCCAGGCACACAATGTGGGAAAGAACCGGGAGATGCCAGGTGTGGCCCCACCCTCCTTCCGCATCGCGGCCGGCCTGAGCCTTCTGGCAAAGACCCACATCTCCTTGTACTCAGATCGGTGGAGCTGCCCGGGGGGTTGGCATCCTGCCGTCACAGGCCCTTCGAAATGAAAGGCAGAAAGTAAACGCAGCTGTTCATGGCTCAATCCCCAATCTGAACGCCTGCACAGCTCAGGCACTCTCATGTCATTAATTTATGAGGAAAAAGGCAGCCAAGGTACACAACCATGCAGAGCCACCAAAGCGGTCACAAGCCAGCCGCACTGTCACACGGGCTCCTCCCGGCCAGGAGACAGGGCAGCGGAGGCTTAGCAGGAGCCTGTGTCTCCAGGGGCCCAGCCCCCTCTCTGCTGCTCATCTGCCACGGACTCTGGACAAGGTACTTCCCTCCCGAGCTGGGCGCCCGAGGATAGGCGCCCCCTCACGAGGAAGCCATCAGGGTTACATTCGATTATCTATGCGCAGAGCTGGGTAGCATACGTGGCACACGGCAAACTCTCCAATCTCAGCCGTCACTACCATAATTCTGATTATTACTTAAAAACCAGTGTGCAGGCAAAAGCCGGTGCTGCTGTGCTTGGTCAGCCTGAGCCTCGGAAACTTGCAATCCTCACGTCTCACTCACTGGCCCACGGGCTCAACAGAGGTTCGCCCAGTGGCCTTCGGGAAGGAAGGGACCCGCCTTGGCCTCAGGGGCCTGTCTCTCGGAGACACAGCTAGGAAACCAGCAAGAGTGTGATGGACCAGCGGGTGCACAGTGGGAGGGGCACCAATGGTTGCTTCAGTAGTGGGAGAGTTTGGAGTAGGTCGTACCGGATGGTAAGAATCAGCAGAGACGGGGACACTGGAGATAGTAAGAATCTGACAGATGATGGCTCTAAGCAGAGGCCCCGGCGGGGGGATGCCTCTTCTTCCACCGGTGCGGTGGGGAAGGGCAGCTTTGCAGGCTGAGTGACAGGAAACTGATGGGTTTCCCATCACGGTTTCTATTCTCAAGTCAGAAGTGAGATCACAGGCTAAAGGGGAAAGTGGTGGGTCCAGAGAGATTTCAGGAATGCGAGGGAGGCCTAGAAATAACCATTGCCTAGAAGAGGAAAATGGGGCTGACCGGAGAAACACAGAAGCCTTAATTTGTAAAAATGCCCACGTTATTAAATACGCTTTAAGAGTGTAAAGAACACGGGCTCTGCAACCAGCAGCGTAGGTTCTGTCCTAATTCCACTACTTAATACCTGTGTGACCCTGGGCCAGTTGCATAGCCTCTCTGAACCTCAGTCTCTGCATCTGTACAATAAGGGTAGTAAGAGTCCCTTCCTCATAAAGCTTTTTCTTGGATAGATTAAATGCAAACAGGTTAGTATAGCATCTGGCAAACAGTAAATGCCATATAAGTCCCAGCAATAACGACAGTGAGCATTATTGTTTTTAATGTCTGCCAACCTGATAAAGAAGAAAAATAGTTCTCCCATTTTTATTCTTTGGCAAGTTGAACCCCTATCTCTCAGCCTGTCCAAATCCTCCAGATCCTGTGGGCGAGACCCAGCTCATACTCCATGTTCTGTGAAGCTCTGCTTGACCACCACGAGCCTTCCTCTCCTAAGTTCCAGAAATACTGCCTGTACCTCTCACTCATCATCTAGCAAACATACACCCCCTTGAACCCTTGCTTATCTTTTAGTATATAAATGCTTTGTTTACTTAACTGGACTGAGATGGGGCATCTTCCTAACATGTACCGTCTTTGCCGGCCCTCACCAGGTCTAGTGTCACGTCCTTCACACGATAGGTGTGCGATGTGTAGCACACAGGGCTGATCTAAATCGATCAAGGATGTGTGACAAAGACAACCCACCTGATGATTAAGCTGTCCTCCCCAAGGGTCACGACGGTGGCTTCCGTGGCTTGTAGAGACATGAGTTTGGCGAGGGCTTCTGAAGTTTTGCTCTAAGAAATAACCAGAAGGTAGAATGAGAGCGATACTAAGCTGGCCTGTGCAAACCCAGACCATCAATCACAAGGCTGGTGTTAAAGAAAACCCCGCAAGAAAAGGCTGCCTCCGTAACGCGGCCCCTCTGCACGCCTGCGGGCTCTCCCAGGATGAGTGTCACTTACTGCCCATCAACACGCAGCCGTGCCATCCCCGCGCTGAGTGTACAGTGCAACTGAGTTCTATGAATTACATTTCAGATTGAAGAAACAATGCCAGTCTGCCCAATGACTGTTTTCTTTTAGGTTCAATTTAATTTCTTTTAGGACCTGAGTCCCACTCTCTTATATTAGGATACATTGAAATCTGGGAACAATGCAGGGTGCTAAAAATGGCACGACCCTATGGTGGAAATGTGGATTTCTAGACTAGGAAGCTACACACTCAGTTACGTACCAAGAGGTTCGGTACGAGCTCTGACCCGAAATCCAGGGTTCTTTCCACTGCGCGATGCATCTGAACAAAGGTTTTAATAATTAACCAGATTAGCTGGGATTTCAGAAGTAGAGACCAGTTTGGAGACTGGTGGTCAGAACACCTAATTATACGAAGGTTTCATGTTTCTTTAATCCTTGCCCTAGATTGTGTATGATGAGTAATTCTAAACATGGTGCTCAGATAAATTAAGGTTTGTGTTACTGAGGAAACAGTTCTTCCTTTAACCTGAGGCTGCAGTTACCTTTGCCACGTGTTCCAGCCACCGCCCCAGGGCAATGAACACGAAGAGCATGGGGGGCGTGTCAAAGAAGGTCACCGGGCTCCTCTCCGCCTTCTCGGCGATGGCCACCACCAGGATGACGAGGGAGTAGACGTAGGCGATGCTTGTGGCCAGCACGATGAGCACGTCCATGCTGGCCGCCCTGTGTCTCAGAGATTTGTAGGCCTGCACGTAGAAGTACCAGCCCCCGAGGAACTGAAAGGTGGTGAGGGAGAGTGACCTTTGTGACAAGGGCCCTCGGGACTGTAAATACCCTGGGCTCCCCCTCGACGCTGACATGACTTTTTTCCTCCATAAGTGATGCGTACGAAATGTACTTCCTGATTCAGAGGACTTCTGACCACAGGAGTGGCTGATCCAGGGAGACCTTTAAGACCCAGAGCACTGGACAACCTAGATGTCCATCAGTAGGAGAATGCTCAAGATGGTGAAAGAAATCATAGTGCGTTCATACTGTGGACAGTGCTATGCGGTCCCTGAAGACAATGTGCTAGGCCCCTAACCGCTGGTGTGAGAGATGTACACAGTACATGGTTAAGTGAAAAAGCCAGTTATAAATCAGTGTATCTAGTATTATCCTATTTCGGCCAAAAAGAAAGCCTGTGTCTATAGTATGTGAACATATACACACACATACATACGCACATAAATATGTGTTTTTTTCTATGCAGATGAAGATCTGGAAAAACCAAATTGAGCCTATAAACACTTGCCCCCAGATAATCCTAATTAATATTAATTAATTCTAATATTAAGTCAGGAGTTTCATTTTCTATTCCAAAATAAATGGAAGGCACACTTCCCACTAGAAATACAGCTAGCTACTTAATGCGGTCCCCAGGGCAGAAGTAACACGAAGCCTGCCCCTTTTAAATTATGATTCCTCAGGACCACGTTTCAGTCATTCAAGCCAAGACGTGGAAGAGAGCAGCATGAGCTCCAGGGTGGTCCAGCTGCTGCTTCTAACATCGAATTCAGCTGAACAATAGGCAAACAAGACATACTGGATCACCAAGCCTTGCCGCAGGGGGCTGCTGCTCCAGGGGGAGTCTGGTCATCTGTGGAACTGCCCGTTTTAGAGGACGCCCCCCAGCTGGTCATAAGACAGAAAAAAGCAGCAGCTGGCTGGGTGGTGGGAAAGCGGCAACGAAGCTGCACTTGGAGCGCTCTGAAGGGCTGTGCTGGCCTAAGAGGACAGAGCACCTGCTGGCCACACACAGGCACGCTGGGCAGGTGTGCCCACCCCCCGATACGCACCTGGACAAAGGTACACAAGATAAAGAAGACGAGGTTCAGGATGGACAGTCCCGGGATGATGTTGTGGTCCAGCAGCATAGACTCGTGGGGCTCGTGGCTGGGTATCAACATATAGATCATTAAACCCATGACAGGGATGCCAAACACCAGGCTGCACAGGAAAGACTTCTTCCACCTGGAAAGAAACACAGCAACACCAACATATCAGGTACCGCCGGTCACCTGGCTTCTGGCCCCGTCCCCTCCCGAGGACTTGGTTTGAGACTGGCCTCTGCCACATGTCTGGGACAGACCAGCAAGGGCTAAAGTGAAAGCAAGGCTCTCTCTACATCGGCCATCTGAGGGGAACATCAAAGGTCTAAACTTCACTGCAAGGATGCTCCAGAGACATTTAGACACAGCCCCTGCCTGCCCGTGGCTGACGTGGCACCTGCAATCTACAGGTGAGGCAACCGAGGTCCAGAAACTGAGAATTCAGCCCCAAAGAGGTGGGCCATCCTCAGCCTATGGTTGCTATTGCTCTTTTTTCAAACCGCAATCGTTTATAGACTCCCAAGAAAAAGATAGATAAAAGGAACATTTCATTAGTATAAACTTACACACTCAACTTTTAAACTATTACTTAAAATAGAGTCAGTGTGAACAGTGCAGCTGCCTTGATGAAGTCTGAAATCGGGGTCACAGGTGGCAGCCATGGTCTCACATCAGCCTCACCACACACAAAATTCCAACCAAGCGCTCTTGGAAGCTGTAGGAGGCATAGCCTCAACGCGATCTGAAGGCCATGGGTCTGCAAGATCGGAGTCTTACACTCCCAGGCCCCCGCCTGCAAGCCCCGAAAAGACCTCGCTTCCTACCCCACTCCTCTCAGACCGACAAACTTCCACTCATTCTTTGAGGCTCAGATCGTGTGTCCCCTGCTTGTTAGCTTCCCAGACTCCCCAGAACCCACCTGCATCATTGCTCACCCGCTCTTCCCAGCCCAACCAAGGGCCCCTCTAAGGTAGGGGTGACACCCTATTCACCCGTAGCACCCGGCACAGTGCCCTGCATACAACAGCGGGCTTGTGTTCGTTGAATGAATGAGTGAACATCTGCAACAGTGAATGAGCTCAGGTCTCCTGCTTCCCGAGCCATTTTCTTTCCACTTGGCCGTAATTCCTGTCCTCGGATCCTAGATCTCGACCCACTCCAGTAAAGTCTTGAAATACTATAAAAGAAAGAACCCACTCTTCCCTTCCTCCCAACGTAAGTGCTGTCCAATCTGTTAGCGACCAGCCATAGGTAACTATTTAAATTAAAATTAGTTAAAATGAAGGGAAATTAAAAATTCACTTCCTGAGTCACACTGGCTGCATTTCATACTGGGCAGTGCAGATATAGAGCGTTTCTGTCACAGCAGAAGGTACCGTGGAACAGCGCTGTTTTAGAGGATTAACGTTACGGGGTGAAGGCAACTAATTCAGCAGAAGGCGCCGTGGAAGCTGGGGGTAGCAGGGACACCGATCAGCACCGAATGAGGTAGAGGCGGGCCAGGGGAGGGCAGCCCTTAGAGCTACAGTTTATCTTCTGTGTTCTACCTACTGCTTTATTTCCAGCTTGTGGTCCAAGTGATGAGCGCTGGGGTTCCTCTGGGCCAGGGAGACATGAAAGCCGATTTCCTTGTTATTAGAAAGAGGAAACAAGAAAGAAGGCACTTGGTTAAAACAGGCATCGGTAGAAACCATTTTACATCTTTGGAAATAAGAAAGTTAATCTAGGGCTTCCCTGGTGGCGCAGCGGTTCAGAGTGTGCCTGCCAATGCGGGGGATGCGGGTTCGAGCTCTGGTCTGGGAGGATCCCACATGCCGCAGAGCGGCTGGGCCTGTGAGCCACAATTACTAGGCCTGTGCGTCTGGAGCCTGTGCTCCGCAACAACAGAGGCTGCGATGGTGGGAGGCCCGCGCACCGTGATGAGGGGTGGCCCCCACTTGCCGCGACTAGGGAAGGCCCATGCGCGGAAACGAGGACCCAACGCAGCCACAAATAAATAAATAAATACATAAAAAAAAAAAAAAAAAAGAAAGAAAGTTAATCTAAAACCGCCTCAGAGGACTGTATTGGCTTTTCCGCTCACGACTTCTGTCCCCATGTCACTGTACAGATCCCGTCGGAGGTTCCACGGCGACTGCTGCTCCTTCTGTGGGCAAAGGCAGCAGACGCCGGGAGGTGACTTAGCACACCCTGAGCTGATCGATGTTGAGTTATAAACGCGGGATCTGTGAGTTATGGACTCCCCAGTATCAAGCGGTCGGGAGTATCGCTCTCTGTAGGAGGAAACTGAAGGTCAGGGATTAAACTCCCGTCCAAAGCTACAGCATCATCGGAAGCTCTGAATCCAGCTGCAGGCCCCCCCACCCCGGCTCCAGCCCAGGCCTCTCCCAACGAGCAGACCTTGGCTCCGGCAGTATCTGTGGTTTTCTCAGGGATTCTCTCAAGCAATTCTTTCACCGTTTTGCTCCTCCACCCTCTCTATCTTATTTGATCTGGTTGCTAAATCTCTGATTCCCTGTATAACATTATACAGGAAAGGTTGTCAGGAAATGTCCTGTCAGTCAGCACGATGTAAAGAGGGGCCCTGGGACTCTGATGTTGGGATTTTACTCAAAAATTACGAGTTACGTTGGAAGAAAGAGCATGTAAGGCCATCTAACGACAAATCCTTTACAACTAATACCGGCCCAATTACATCAGGAAAAGATGCCCCAGAGATGCAGGAATGGGGGCCAGACATTGGCAATATACCTCAAGTAAGAACTAGCAGGGGACTGCAGCGGGCTGGGCAGTTGGGTGGAGGCCAGCAAGGATTAGTGCCTCAGTTGACTTCTCTCCCTCATTAATGCCTTATCACTACTGTTCTGTAAGACCCGTGGGGTGGCAGAAACCGGATGCCCACTGAGCTTGGAACTAGGAGATCTGGGTTGGAGCACCAGCTCTGCAACCTTTAGCTGGGTACCAGGGATCAAAGTCTCCTAACCTCTCTGGGGGATCTCTCCTCATCTGATAAAGAAGCTGCATTGTCTGCCTCTAAGATTGAGGCACTGTATCAACAGCAGTAGCAGCATTTGCACCTCAAAGAGCTCTGCATGGCCAGACAACAGACAGCATCTCTCTTAACACACACACACACACGAAAATTTAAAACAACTTGAAGCCTGCTATGAGATGTTTAATTTCATAAGGAATTTCATAAGCAGTAGTTTCTGCTAAACTTCACCATTAGTTGTTATGAGTTCATCTTGCTCGGTTTTGACCATCTTGACCCATTCAGATCACCACTAATGCTCATCTTCTCCTGGTGTGGTATGATACAGACCTGAGAGAGGACACAGAATGTCTGTGGACAAAGTGAGGGAACGATGAGGGTGGGAGTACAGAAAACTACTGTGATTGATTTTCCAAAGGAGAAATGACTAAACTCTCCACCTGTAAAGGAGGCCTAGTATAGTGGTCAAACGCAGTGTAATTCTTCCCAACACCAACATTCCTTTGGTCTGTAGATACGTGACACAGATGTAAATATTACTTAGAAGACTTACAATTAGGCAATTTTTTTGGGGGGGGGTCACACCGCATGGCTTGTGGGATCTTAGTTCCCCAACCAGGGATCGAACCCAGGCCGTTGGCAGTGAAACACTGGACAGCCAGGGAATTCCCACAATTAGGCAATTTAATACCATGTGCCAGGAATCTTGGCAATACTGCTGTTTCTCAGGGAATATCTGAAATTAAAACAATAATAATGTCCTTTTCTCCCCATCTTTTTCTTACCCATTCACTGATTCCCCCCTCAAATTATCTGATATTTACTAAACGCTCACAAGTTGAGTCACCTTATTTCCATGGGAAATCTTGAAGGATTTTAGATTAGGTGATTTTTTTTTTTTTTTTTTTGCTTAGCTATATTTTGCTCATTTTTCTATGATGATTATAAACCACTGTGTTTTAAAAGGTGGGTACAATATTCTTTTGATAAATGATTTACCTCGATAATTTTGACAATATCCCGCGGACCAATAATTTCAGGATCAAACTTCACGTGGGCTTTGCTGGTGGCAAGAGCCACAGAGGCGTAGGTGATGCCGTTTGTCCTTGTGAGTTTGGACTCTATGTTGTGAACACAGGAAGTGCAGGTCATCCCCGTGATCTGCGGCAAAGGATGACAAAGATCCCACTGACCCAGGATCCAGAGGATCCCACCAAAGGCACACAGGGAGTTGGGTTAACAGGCAGCCACCAGTCTGTCCTCCTTCCCAAGATGCTGGACTCACAACCCCCAGGTGCAAGATTTTCACCCCGGACATTCCCGCGGGAGCCTCGGGGATATAAACAGTGGTTCTTCCCCAACTCACGTACAGGAGACCAATCACTAAGCAGATGGCAAGGACCAAGGCCCCACTCGCAGCTCTGCTAACAACGGGCTTTCACAGCACTCTACGTCCTGGGTTGGTTATGCATTTCTGCCACCCCGTGCTGTGTGCACTGAGAAAGCAGTTCCAAGTGAGCCAGCCACCCCTGTACTATGCATTAGGCAAGCCGGGCAACTCACTCTTCTGAGTATCAGTGGTCAGCACTTCCCAGAATACAAATTAAATACAGACATGAAATGCCTGAGCATGTGACGACAATACAACTATAGGACACTGTAATAAGAAAAAAAAAAACATTGTTCAAAAAGATGTTTTCACCTTCCCCACTGATTGTCTTGCTCTAGATTTCCACACCGCAGTGTGAGCAGAGATGAGCACCTCGGGCCCTGGAGGTCTGACCCAGCGAGTACTACACTGTGCCCCTCTGCACACACCGAGGCCCAGCCAGAGCAAAGGATTTGCTCTGCAAAGAACTCCACTTCTCGGGAGCTCAAGGTGCCACGTGTGTCCGCAGTACTTTTTCTTCAAACATTTACTTACCTACCGCTAATGGCACTGACTAAACACAGCAAGGAAGTTTTCACTTCGGTAAACAGCGTTATTCAATTCCTTGTGGATTCCTTCTAAGTCTCCCTTTATTTGCACAAAAAGAGCTTTGCGCAGAAGTGTTTGTGAACACAGCATATTTGAAATACTAGAGCCATCTTCTGTCCTCGATGATTTGTTGACTAGCGCCACTGGCAGCAGTGGGCAGACAGGAAACAATACCAGCGCCTCGTCCCTCCGCTCCCCAGCAGCCCTGGAAACAGCACCACCCCCGGCGTTCACCCCGGACTGAGCGCCTGGGGACACTCTGGTCACCAAGTACCTTGTAGACACACCTGTGCCTACAAGGTGGCCCCGACTGCCTCGCTCACTCCCATCCCGTCCCGGGGCCTCGAGGTGCCTCTGGCATTCCAGCTTCCTCTCGGCCTCACGGGACGTGTTCCTGTTCGACTCCCTCGAGCCACAAGCTCAGGGCAGCTGCCGTCTCCAATTCCTCTTCCTCCAACGCCATTGCCTCCTCCTCCCGATACCCTGACGCGCCTGGCGGGACCTGGCGGGACACGCGCCTGCGACTTTCTGACATAGTGGACATTCCTTCACAAAACGAGCAGGTCCTTGTCACTGGCTTCAAAGGAAAACCCAACAGCAACGAACAGGATACATGCAAGAAGGGGGAACGTCCTGACCACAAGCCCGGTTGCCGTCAGAAGGCCTCCGTGGGCTGTCTCAGGCCTGCACCCCCTGGCCCCCGCTCCAGCCCAGCTGCTGCGCTTACAATCAGCTCGAGGTCGCCGTCTGAGCCCGCGCAGTCCTCCATCACCTCTGCCTTGAAGCCCAGGTCCTGGATGAGCTGCGCTATCTCCAGGGGCTGGATAACTTCCGGGTTATACTTCACCTCTGCCTTTCCAGCCATCAACGCAACCAGCACAGAGAGAATCCCTGAAACCAGCAGGGCACAGCTGGAACACTCCAGGCAAGGCCTCGGGGGATGATGTGTTCAACATAAGCTAACAAAGAAAAACCTCTGCCCCAGAAGCTTCTAGAACAGTGGTTCTCACACTTGGCTGTGCATTAGGATCACCTGGGGTGGGGGGCAGGGGGGAGGGCTTTTAACAATCACCTGACTGGTGATTAACTCTTAACCCAGACCAATTAAATCAAAATCTCTCAGGGTGGATACCAGGCATCTTTTTTCCCCCTTTTTAAAGCTCCCCAGGTGATTCTCACACTTTATTGGGCATATGACTCACCTTAGGCCCTGGTTAAAGCAAAGACGCTGATTCAGTGGGTCTGGGGAGGGTGTGAGGTTCTGCAGGCCTGCGCCTCTCCCAGGCACGGCCCATGCTGCTGGCCCGGCGGGCGCCGCTCTGAGGCAGGCTCTGGGGGACACAGGTGCGGGCACACACCTCAAAGCAAGGGACAGTGTCTGCAGCAGGCAACTGCTGTCACATAACGGGTGTACTTTTTTCTCCACTTCCAGACACAGGAGAAAAAAATCACTTTCAAAAGTGGTTTTCCATACTCTTCTTCAGTTTTTAATCACTTTCAGGAATGAAAAAGAAATCCTGCGGACTATCTTGCTACCACTGTTGTTTAGTTTAAGGGGGAAAGAAAGGTTCATTCACATAAATGAAAGGAATGATGTGCTTTAGAAAGAATGTCATAAAGGATAAATATGAGGGATTCAAGTCGGGAAGAGAATCATGGGCCCTGTGAGACACAGGTTAGCTTTTGAGCCGCCAGCCCACAGGTGACAGAGGAGCTCCTAGAACACCTTGGTTTGAGAGCCACCTTCTAGAGCTCCAGGAAGCTGCAGGCTTGATGAGCAGGAGGCGGGAAGCATGTTATCCTTGAGCCGGAGCAGAAAGACCCACGTACGGAGCCACAGGAAGAGAGAGGGTGACCCCGGAGGCCAGCAGAGTCACGGTTAAGATATTTTCCAAACAAAAAATTGGGACAGGATTTTCGCTGCACTCTCAGCTTTAAGAAACCAGATTGGTGGGCTTCCCTGGTGGCGCAGTGGTTGGGAGTCCGCCTGCCGATGCAGGGGACACGGGTTCGTGCCCCGGTCTGGGAGGATCCCACATGCCGCGGAGCGGCTGGGCCCGTGAGCCATGGCCATTGAACCTGCGCGTCCGGAGCCTGTGCTCCACAACGGGAGAGGCCACAACAGTGAGAGGCCCGCGTACCGGAAAAAAAAAAACCAAAAAACAGATTGGCAATGTTGTTTAGAGGACAAAACTTTGGCATTTCCGCAACACGCTATGATTTACAATGACAACAGGACAGAATGAAGGCTATTTATGTGTTTGACCGTAAGAGGCTTTGGAAGGGAAAACCACAGACTACTACCAGGACAAGCTAGTTGGGGAGACCACCCATGACAGTACCTTGACCTTTAAACTGGATTCCCCATGGCTAACTTACTCAGCAATCCATTTTATCTCAAACTAAGTACTTCTTAAAGAGCAGAGCGCCAATTGCCCCAGAACATTAGACAAACATCTGTCCTATCACACAATGAGCCGCTGCCAGATGATCAGGGCTCCTGATAAACGCAGTCAGTGGAGACGCCCAAGGCCAACGTGTGCCAAGGGCACACCGCCCCACGTTGCTGACCGTGGCCTCCAGCAGTCTACACGCTACCATCCACAGCAGCATCCCAGCTCGGCGCGGTGGAGACCTCTTACCAGCTTCTTTCTGCAGGTTCCTCTCTATGTTGGACACACAGGACGCGCAGGTCATGCCTCTGACCTGTAGAAAGCACTTCTGTGGGGCCACGGTTTCGGAGGCCCGAGGGGACTTGGACACGAGGCCGGGGTTGTGGTTTGTAGGGAGACCCCCGGGCTGGGGAGTCGCGTTCTGCACGGACACAGGTGCACCAGCCGCTGTGTGCCCCGTGGCGCTCCCAGCACTGTGGTTCCCAGCGTGGGTGCTGGAACAGTTTTCTAGGATAGAATGTCACAAATCATTCAGATTAGAAGAATGGATAATTTTTTTTCCGGAACAGGAGGCTCAAGCTTGACAACGTTCAGATGAAAGTTCCTGGAGAAGATAAAGGGGGGTTGGTGTTTCCGTCACTGTCTCCCCCTCCCCACAACCAGACGGAGGCACTCGATTCCATACACAGGGAAACACGCCGATGCTGCAAGGGCGGAATGTTCTGGGTAGACGAATGCTCTAATGAGACAATGGCGGTAAAGCAGTGGTAAGAACACACCAGGCACCCTGCTAAGCACACGTCTGGCCTCCTTTAACTGTTAACATAGCCCTGTGGCAAGTACTACTACCATCCCCATTTTACAAGTGAAGAAAAGAGTTACAAGAAATTAAATGCTTTGCCCCAAACCCCTCAGGTATGAAGCAGGGAATCGAGCTTCTACACCTGGCCACATCCTGGTTAACAGAGGTCCTCTCCCTCCCCATGACAATCAAAATGCCCCAAAACACCTCTATTGAGTCGCTGGCCCTTTTCTCGTCCTTTGTCTAGGTCCTACATACATTTTGGGCAGGAACCCTCTGTCAGCTGTACCCACTGCAAACGCTGGCTCCCGGTCTGTGGTTTGCTTTCTCGCCCTCATCTAACGGTATTTCTTTTGATAAAAGAAGTCCTTGACGTTAATGAAGCCCAACTTAGAGTCAACTAAACCAACTTCAATGGTGAGTGCACCCTGTGCTCTATTAATAGATGTGTCTACCGCCACGCTGAAAATATCCAAGACAGGTTCTCCTGGCACCTCTGTTATTTTAAATGAACCTCCACATTCAGGCCACTGATATACTTCAAATTAACTTCCGTGTAGGTCTGAGCTGATAGCCAAGGGTAATTTCTTTCCATTTGGACTTCCAGTAGTCCGGCTCCAATGATGAAAGTTCTCCTTTCCCCACCGAGTACCAGGGGTCAGGGAGCAGACATCTTTGGGGGCCATTACTCCACCCACCACGCATATACAGACCAATGTAACTAACCATCGACCAGATCAAGATACAGAAAATTTCATCACTCCAAAAAGTCACAGTTTTGTGATGACACAAAATACCTTGAAGAGTATGTAGGAAAAAATGACATCATTTGATGATGAACTCTCCTTACTTCAAAGTCCACAGCTGCAAAACATAGAAGCTCATTTTCTGGAAAGTGCTAAAACTACTTCCACTCACTTTAAGAGTGCAGTCGATGGACGAAGACCCTCCAGTGCTCTGGCCTTACAGCCCTCCACCTTCTGGATGCAGAGACCATCACCTCACCCAGCACAGCTCTGCTCTCCTGGACTTTGTCCTTCTTCAAAATGACTCCACCCCTTGGATGTCAGCTCTTAACATTCTAGCTCCCACCCCCACCAAGCCCTCCTGCACCTGTCCAGCCCCTCCCTCTTTTTCCAGTCCATCACCACCTCCTGGATTCACTTGCCTTTCTACCCAAATATTGTTGTCAACAATTTCAGTAGTATTCGTTAGACCTCCAACACTGAGGTCGAACTCAACTAAATTCTGGGCTTCTGGAGATTGCTAAAAAAAAAGTTTAAATAAATTAACAAAAACCCAAATAAGCCTACGCTGCTGGGTCCTTTATCCACCTATGCCAACACTACAGGTGGGCATATAAATTGATTTGACTTTCTGGAAATCTATTTGACAGTATTATCAAAAACGGTACCTCTAATTGCTTGGCACTTAGTAGGGGCACAATAAATATTTGTGATGGAATGAAATAATGCTGATACCCTGTGACTCAGCAATTATGCTTTCAGATATTTATCACAAGGAAATAATTAAGTACGTGCACAAAGGAGAAACAAATCACGTAGTTTGAAGACTGTCTTCACGGACAATTGTATTTACAGTCACAACAATCCTATCAGTATTATTTACAATGACATCCACACAAAATAGATGGGAAAAATAAAGAGGAAACGAAGTTATGGTACACCCATATGCTGGGATGCCATGCGGCCGCTGAACATGGTACTGCAGACACACGGATGGACCCGTAAGTTATGTTTATGATAAGTCGCAGGGCGAAAAAGAGATTACAAAACTATGTATGATACAAACCTATATATTTCTATATAAAAATGATATAGGCTCTGGGAAAAGTCCGGATGAGCAGCTATGAAATGAAGAACACTGTGTGCATTTGCAGGGAGAGCATTCCAGACACAGGGGACAGCAAGTACAAACCCTGAGGTGAGAACAAGCCTGGTAAGAGGAACTGAGTCAGGGTTAGAAAGGTGGTGGGTGAGGGAGCGGCTTAGGGACCACCGTGAGGACTCTTCCACTCACAATACAAGACGGGATGGGCCAGGAGGGTCAGCAGCGCGACAGGATCGCTGTGAAAGCTGGTTGGGGACCGGGCTGGAAGGCAGGAAGCAGGGAGACCAGTTTGGACCCCCTTCCAGGATCCAGGAGCAGAGGACGGTAGCCTGCACCAGGATGCTGGCCTGTCTCCTCCGCCTGGCGTGCAGTCCTGCCCTTCCTGCCTGTTCAGATCCTACCCATTCTTAAATCCTATCCACGCCCAACTCCATGGTCACCCCTACATCATGTCCTTGGGAGCCCCACAAGCGGGTATTGGATTCTCTCCTCTTCTGAATCCCAAAAGCATCTGACCTACACCTTCCTTGTTACAACATTTATTCTAACCTGCCTTGGATGATACAAGGGGCCTCTGTGACCTGCTTCCCCGGGAGAGTGTGAACCGCTGTGGGTGGGTCCTGGACTGCCACTGAGCACTTCACGGCAGCTGGCACAGGACCTGGGCCCCAGCACGTGCAGGGGTGAGGGAACCGTGCCCTGAAAGTGACATCACTCACTTATGAGGGTGAGAGGAACATGCTATACGTAACAGGTGAATTTTCCTCACTTTGTATTCATGTATCCCATCCATCCATCCATTCATCCATTCAAAAACTACTTACCATGCAAACAAGTGAACAAGTAACAGCTGCCTTCTACAACCAGGTCTAAATGTACTTTAGCTGTCAAGTAAGGGACGGAAATTCAATGCCTGTCTCTTGCCCGTATGCTCTCAGACCCTTTCCCTCCCTCCTTCCCCCTGCTCCACTACCAAGGGGCTGACCCCTGCAAACCACTTTTCCCAGGCTCCCTTGTCAACTGGTTTCTGATTAAATTTGGCACATGGAGGTAACAAACAGGAAACAACAGGACAGAAAGGAGGAGGACCCAAGTGTTTGCCATCCCTCCACCGGGGCCCCGGCTCCTGCCATAGCCTTGCCCTTGGCCAGTTCCCACCAGGCAAGCTCAGCCCCTGGGCTCGTGTAAACTAAACACCTGCCTTCCCTCAGACCCTCCCATCTGTGGGTGGTTTTCCTGTTTTTTAATTTCCTGTTTTCCCTCCCAGTTCCTGTTTGGTTTTTCAGCTCTGTAATCTCTCTCAAGAGTTCCCTCCATCAGCTGACCTGAGACCCTGCCTGTCCCAGCCCATTATTTCCTTTCTCCTTCATTTCCTTCACAAACACCTACTGTGTGCTGGGTGCTGCGGAGTCAAAGGAGAAACAAATCACATGGTTTAAAGACAGTCCTCAAGGAGCCCCTGGTCAATCCAGAATGACCGACCAAATACAAATAATGCCTTTTTCGTATTTAAGTGGCTATAAAAGACAGTCACCAGCACACTTATGGTTTATCCTAAATTAAGACTGCCAGGTAAAATACAGGACATCCAGGTAAAATTGAATTTCAGATAAACAGTAATTTTTTAGTATGTCTCAAATACTGCACAGGACATACTAATATTAAAATGTTACTCATTGTTTATCTGAAATTCAAACTTAACTAGGTATCCTGTATTTTTATTTATTTATTTTTATTTTTTTGCAGTACGCGGGCCTCTCACTGTTGTGGCCTCTCCCATTGCGGAGCACAGGCTCCAGACGCGCAGGCTCAGCGGCCATGGCTCATGGGCCTAGCTGCTCCACGGCATGTGGGATCTTCCCGGACCGGGGCACGAACCCGCGTCCCCTGCATCGGCAGGCGGACTCTCAAGCACTGCGCCACCAGGGAAGCCCGTCCTGTATTTTTATTTGCTAAATCTGGTTCCCTAAATACCTCTTGGGCTAAACATAATTCTCATAATTCTGGCTAATAAAAATCCCTGTTTTCTCTCCAGGTTTACGTAGTCAAGTTCAATTATTCTGCGTTATATAGTTCAATGCAACTTTCTTTTTACTGCTGATAACTTGATTCCACTGTTCTAAGACTTTAAACCTTATACAAATATAGCAGATGACGACTACATACTACATGTCTTAGCTTCTGAGTACGGGATTTACTGTTCCAGTTTCCTTATTGATTTTTGTTTAAAAAAACAAAACAAAACAAATCTCCTTCCTGAAACTTGGTACAAAGACAAAGCCCAGAATGGGGCCCAGTCACTCCACATGACTCACCCGCTCCCCTTGGGGGTGGGTGGTGCAGGGGCCTAGGAAGGGCTCCTCGGGGCGGGGGGAGTGAGTGGGAGTCAGCCATGAGGGGCAGGACAGGGGGCCCGGCCGTGTTTCTGCCACCTCCCATGGCTCACTGGCTCACTCCCACCCACCCACCCCCAGAGGGAGCCCTCCCTAGAAGCCCCCCTTCCCCCTCACAGGGCTCACACCTGCTGCCCCGCGTGGTTTCCCCCTCCCTGCTACCACATAAGTTCTTGGGGTGGGGGTGGGGGAAGGTACCTCGCTGCTCAGCATCCCACAGCTCACACAGACCTGGTGAGGGGCAGAAACACGAAAGACCCTAAGACAACTTGCTGGGCTCCCGAGTGAAGGAAATGGAGGGGAAAACAGACAAGTGAGTGGCTGGCGGGTCAATGGGAGGGGGCCTGGGGACAGCCACCACCCTGGAAACTGTCTAGTGACGTGGCATCAAGGTATGTGGGCACCTCGCTTTGGGAAGGCTGTCATACACCCCCTCTTCTCACAGCCATGGTCGGGGGTGGGTGGGAAGGGAAACCATCATCATATCCTTCCCTTCTTTCCCACTTTCAACAGAATGGGCTCCAGGTGGTGAGACCAGGGTCCTGTTGTCTTTATTATTCTGTTTTGTTTAGCAGAGAAATCTCAGAGCAAATGATGATGTTTCCTTTGGAGAGAGAAGGGCCAGGTGTTCCCAAAGTACTCTTTTTAAAAAGAACACAGGGGCTTCCCTGATGGCGCAGTGGTTAAGAATCCGCCTGCCAATACAGGGGACACGGGTTCTAGCTCTGGTCCGGGAAGATCCCACGTGCCACGGAGCAACTAAGCCCGTGCACCACAACTACTGAGCCTGCGCTCTAGAGCCCGTGCACCACAACTAGTGAAGCCCGCTCGCCACAACTACTGAGCCCACGTGCTGCAACTACTGAAGCCCATGCTCCCAGGGCCTGTGCACTGCAACGAACAGTAGACCCCGCTCGCCGCAACTAGAGAAAGCCCGTGAGCAGCAACGAAGACCCAACACAGCCAAAAATAATAATTAAAAAAAAAAAAAGAACACAGAATCAGTGCTCTCTTCAGAAAAGAAGCTAAAAATCCAAGGAACTTAGCATCAACCACGTACCAGCCAGGACGGAGGCCTCGAATCCCATGTCCTCCACCGCAGCTCGGAGTTCTGCTGGGTGAGTTAGAGATGGATCGTAGAGAACCGTTCCTGTCCCTTCAGCCAAAGACACTGAGATACGCTGCACTCCCTCCCTCTGGGAAACCAGGCCCTCGATGGACTGGACGCAGGACTCGCAGGTCATGCCAGCGATGGCCAGCACTGCAGCACAGCGCACGCCGAGCGCCTGGGGGCTCCTGGTGTCTGTCCCACTCCCTTCCGCTCCATCGGGTAGAGAGACTTTAAAGTTCCCAGGTGGCAGAGCCTCAATGGCCCTCTGCAGGGTCCCTGGGGAGATGCGGGAAGGGTCGTACTGGACTTGGGCAGTCCTGTTCTCCAGGGACACTTGGATACTCTGAACCCCTGGCTGCTGGCCAATATTTTCTTCGATGTTCAGGACACAAGACTTACAGTGCATTCCATCCACTCTCAGATACAGGGGCACCCCCTGGCTCCCCGAGGTCTCTGAGTTATTGCCATTCTGGTTAATGGAAGCCTGAGGGGCCTTTGGGTGGATGCGCTGGAGCTGCCTGATGTCAATTGGACCCAGGCTCACGGGGGCCACCTTGTTCTTGATGACGGCTTCAAACCCCATGTCGTTCACGTGGTCCCTGAGGTCTTGGGGTTGGATGAGGTAAGGCTGGTAAGTGATGACTGCCTCCTGGTTGCTGAGCGAGACGCGGACCCTCACGACGCCCTGCAGTTTCCCGATCTTGCCTTCTATGGAGCTGACGCAGGACTGGCAGGTCATGCCCTCCACCCGAAGCTTGACCACAGCCTCCAGGGCGGGCGAGAACCTGGATGGCCGGGAGGTAGCCTTTCCCTCCGCCACAGTGGCCTGGAAGCCCATGTCCTCAATCTGACAGCAAACCTGAGGCAGGCTCAGGACCGAGGGCATGTACCTCACCATGGCGCTGCCCTGCTCCAGGGAAACCTTAACGCTCACAATGCCTTTCAGACTAGACACCCTGCCCTCGATGGACTTCACACACGACTGGCAGGTCATGCCCACGATGCTGATGGTGCCGGTGGCCGTCTGAGAGGGGTGCACGCCATCCAGGCCGTGCTCGTAGCCATTGTTGTCAAAGGCAAAACTCTGCTTCATCGTTGGCTCCCAGGTTCGAGCAGGCCAGGAAAGCTTAGGCAGGATCTAAAAGGAAGAAAAGAACATTTTGTACCCTTAAAACTAAACATTTTCTAAAATCTCCCAGCTTGTGTGGCACTGAGAAAATGGAAAACAATACCACTGGTGTCCAAACATCCCAAGAGTATGAGAACATTACAAAAGGGGAGGAAATCTATAAAGACATTACTTATCATATGAAAGGGTTCAGAGGGGTTCCTTCTAGCTCTGACTTTCTGTGATTCTGAACCCAGAAGTCAACTGCCCACCTTGGTAGAAGGCATGAAGGTTTCTGTGGGAAAGGAGAGCACGATGGGGCTGACCCGCACAGAACAAGCATGGCAGGCCTATGACAGAGGCAGAGAGCACAGCAGCCCGCAGCAGAAGGGCACAAGTCCCACAAGACCTCCCCGACTCCAGCTGACACCTGAAATCTCCCCACTGGACTTGGTCCTTTCAATTTAAACTCTGGACGTCCTGCTGGAATGCAAATATACAGAATAGGCCACACCCAAATTCTGCATCTCTTTCTAGGGGTGTCCATCTCATTCTCTTAGCAGGGGTTAGACTTAATAGCCATAGGGCACATGTTCCAAATGCAGACCTCCCAGCGCATGGGGCCAGACCACAGTGACTGTGAAAAAAGGTCTCGAAGGACGCCCCTTGAGCCACGGAAGTGAGCACAGCAGTGCCAAGGGGACCAAGAGGAGGGGGAGGGGGGAAGCTGGAAGAACAGGAAGTTGGGCTGAACAAGGCACTTGCCTTGTTCTGCCTCGGCTGAGTCCCTGCCCCGCCGGGTGCTCAGGGCCGCTGTAGACATTACCTAAAAACGACACGTGCTTCACCAAATTAAACGGATTCATTTTCTTAGCGTATCACAGCTCAAGGGTAGTTTCCTGATGTCTTCTCATGATGTGGCCTCAGCCATTCTGTTAACAAAACTTCCCTTTCGCAGGGTCCCAGCCTCACCACTCTCTTAACGAGATATAGTTCTTATACCAGTGCTATTACCTGCTTCAGGCATTTGGGCACAGGCCTTTGTATATGGCAACGGGTAAAAAAGCATGTCACTCGACACCTACACAAGCCTACTCGTCTTCAGCTGAAGCTCGATTACACGGATTGATCTTCTCTGTCCCTGTGCATAAGATGCTTATCTTTCCAACTTCAGATTTTGAGCAGCTTCACAAGATGGAAGTTTAAATAACTTTTAAAACAGACTATAAATATTCATTTGTATATCCACAGAGGAAATCACAAGCTAGTTTGGGATTAATAATTATAAGGAGTTTTAAAAAATATTTTAAAATAGAGAAAAAGGGATAATTACGTAATTTATGAGACAGTAACTCAAAAATCTGATGGATTCAAAAAACATACTGAAATTATCTATGGTGTAAATACAGAAATGTATATGATAAGGATGACATAGCATAACAGTATTAACGGACGGCTGGGTAGACACCTGGGAAACCTATTTGGAAAAATATAAATTTGGAATCTATATATCAGAAGACAATTCAGACGGATCAAAGATGAAGACGTAAAAAGCAAAATAATAAAAGTACTAGATGAAGACACAGGAGAATATCTATTATAATCTCAGAGTGGGGAAAGCCTAAATATGACAAAACAAAAGCAAGAAAATCCAGAAGCTATAAAATAAAAGTTTGGTATATCTAACCACAATAAGAGGAAAACAAATTGTTCAAACCAAGGCAGAAGATAAACCGAAAGAAAAAGAAGACTTGCTTTCACCTTAAGCAAATTAAGAGCTAATTCCTTTAATATATAAAGAGCTCCTTCGAAAAAGAAAAAGGCCAACATTCCAACAGAAAAAAGAAGGCAGTTCATCAAAAAGGAAATGCAAATGGCTTCTCAATATATGAAAAGCAACATTAAAGGAGAAATATAACATTCCCACCTCACATGTGAGGTTGACATGGTCTTCACCATTCAAGTTGGCACCCACTGACTCATTCCCCAGGGTTAGTGGGAATGTTACCTCTTGGGAGGGCAACTTGGCAATATCTATTAAAATAACAAATTCACATATTCTTTGACCCAGTGACTCTCTAAGAATTTAGGCAATAAATATATTTGTTTGCATGCAAAAGGAAGCATGCAACAAAGATATTAGATGCTACAACAGATTGAAAACAACATAAATGTCCATCAATAGAGGCTGATAAATTACTGCACAAATGTACAATGGAATACTATCTAGCTCTTAAAAAGAATGAGGCAACTCTATAAACAGTGAAATAGACTGGTATCTAATATATAGTTCAGTGAAAAAAGCAAGGCACAGAATATACAGCACATCTAGGAACTTCCCTGGTGGTCCAGTGGTAAAGAATTCATTTTACAATGCAGGGGACTAGGGTTCGATCCCTGGTCAGGGAACTAAGATCCCACATGCCACGGGGCCACTAAGCCCATGCACCACAACTACTGAGGTCGTGTGCCTCAACTAGAGCCTGTGAGCCGCAAACTAGAGAAAAGAAAACCTGCGTGCCGTAACTAGAGAAAAGCCCACGCACCACAACGAAAGATCCCGCATGCCTCAACGAAGATCCTGCGTGCTGCAACCAAGACCCAAGACGGCCAAAAATAAGTTAAATAATAATAGATAAATCTTTTACAAGAAAAAAGAATATATAGTGCATCTAGTATTTCGGTTATCTGCTGCTCAAGACAAACCAAACTTAGTGGTTTATGATGACAGCTCACAGTTTTTCAACTTGGACAGGGTTTGGCAGGTAAAGCTCATCTCTGGGGTGGCTGAATGGGGCTGGAGGTTCCACTTGCAAGAAGATGGCTCATTCATCACATGGCTGGCAGGTTGATGGTGGCTGCTGTTGGCAGGGACCTTGGCTCTCTTCCATGTAGCCTCTGCACATGGCTAGGCTGGGTACCTCACCGTTGGGGGTTTCTGGGTTCTGAGAGGGAGTGTCACGGTAGTTAGCATTCACAGAGAACAAGTCCCAGTGTGCAAGCACTTAGCAAGCCTCTGCTTGCATCACACCTGCTAATCCACCATTGTCCAAAGCCAGTCACGTGGCCAAGCTCAGTCAATAAGGAAGAGAATTACATAAGTGCTTACATACAAGGAAGTGGAGTTCACTGGGAGGACCACCAAAATAAGTCTATCACAGCATGCTAGCACTGTTTGTGAGAGAAAAAGAATACGACACACACAGATGTTTATGCATGTATGGAGTTACCTTTGGAAGAACATATAAGAAGCTGGCACAGAGTCTGTGGACTGGGCAGCTGAAGGCGTCAGGCAGCTGGGGTACAGGAGTGGGCAGGAAGAGTTACTTTTCACTGTACAACTTACTGTACAATGTACACGTGTTACCGAATTCTAAAACATAATTAATTTGAACATTAAGTTAAAATAATGTGAGAATAAAGGAGATCCGCAGCAGTGACTTGATTGTAACTGGTATGAATTAAATACTTATTTAACTGAAAAAAGATGCAGGTCAGGGGGAAAGACTGTGGTTAAGACTGTACACTTCCACTGCAGGGGGCCTGGGTTCAATCCGTGGTCCGGGAACTAACACCCTGCATGCCACGTGGTGTGACCAAAAAAAAAAAAAAAAAGAAGATACAGGAAAAACTAAGAAGATATTCTAAAGATATTTAGATCCTTCAATACAGTATCTTAGTAAAGCAGAAATTACCTCCTTATAAGACATAACTCTCAGTCACCCAGTCTGTTGGAAAAACAAATCCCTAATGATTTACTACCCAACTTATGTTTCTTGGTCCCAGGTCGAGCTACAACTCACCAAACCCAAGCCACAAAGCTGGCTCTTAATCCCTGGATTATCGATTCTATGTTCCTGCTAAAGGAGTCTGCAGAAGTGTTGGAAGCTATTTGTTTGTAGCAAATAATACTCAGAGGTCTCCCTTCTATACAGGCAGGCTTCTAAAGACAAGCAGTTACAGAAGACAAAGCTCTGCAAATAACATAACTTTATGAAACACCAGCGTACCTGTTGGTTTAGGAGCAATCTCATAACAGTTGTCGGGTATCTGGATCGTTTTTAAGTGTACACACATACTGTGCTTTTAATTCCATTCTTCAATGAAGACAATCTCTGGGGTGGGGAAAAACTCCCCTACTGAGTTCAAAGAAACAAACATGTCTAGGTTTAAGGGCTCATAAGAAGCAATGGACATTGGAGAGTGGGCCCAGGGTACAGACTGTGTGTCCAGGGAAAACGTGGTAGAATTCCCAGTGTTGTCTACGTCCCACTGAATTATACACTCCTTGAGGACAAACACCGGGGACTTCTTCTACAGGCCCAACATCAGGCTGCTGGCTTCTGAATTTTCAATAAACTATTAGTACGGTAGGCATGAGGTTGAGAAGCGCCTGGAAACACCAGAGAAGATGGTAATTCCACAGAGAGGAATCCAAAAATGAATTGCAATTCTTTGCCACCTCTCTAGGCGGCCTGGTCACATGGAATTTGCTGAGAGTACCAGGGCTTTTAAACGAAAAGATAGGGAAAGGTATATAAACTCTTGATTTGCTAAGATGGAGCCAGGAAAGGAAAATAAGAGAGGCCAGTCTAGTATGAAGAAATTGGAAATGGGGTGGTATGTTTTAATGAACGTTTTCAAAGCCAGACTGAAATTGCAAAGCCCAGAAATGACATGCCTTGTATAAAATGGCTGTGATCACAAATCAAAGAGCAATGCTACTACATGTACAAGGGAAGAACCACTAGCCACTTCTGAGCTCTCTTAGTTACAGGTGGATCCCCATCATCCTTAAACTGGATACCACTCACCCACTTATCCTGAGACTTCTTTCACTTTGTTTTTGTTTTTGTTTTTTTTGCGGTACGCGGGCCTCTCACTGTTGTGGCCTTTCCCGTCGTGGAGCACAGGCTCCAGATGCACAGGCCCAGCGGCCATGGCTCACGGGCCCAGGCGCTCCGCGGCATGTGGGATCCTCCCAGACCGGGGCATGAACCCGTGTCCCCTGCATCGGCAGGCGGACCCCC